TAGCTCACTGTCATGATTTCCTATTTGTGGTTGGTCAGGAACATCTGTGGCCTTGAAATACACCTGGTGTCTTATCTTGGAAGTATTTAAAAGTTTGAACCCATCATTGTTCTTTATCTTTTACCTCTCACGAGTAATCAAACCAATGAAATACGTTGCACATTTCTGTAGCTTGTACTTTATTGAGCTTTTTCTAAACATTTCTAAAAGAACAGCTGACTTTGTTAAGTGAACCAACTGCCTATATCAGCTTAAAACAATGTACTTGCAGGTGAGCAAATTAGGCTACTCTAAAACTCCTTAAATTAGTTTTTTAATAAGATAAATGGTGCCATATTAGCAATGCATGAATTTTTTTTATGGCTTTACAGGACAAAAATCTAGGATAGTTACTCAATAGCACTTCAAAATCTAAACTGCTTTCTAATTCACTGCCTCTACCCAAAAAAGACTTTCTTTATTTTTGTTAAATTATTTATCTTGCCTATGAAGTCCTTAATCAAGATGATGTTCTCATTTAAACAACAGAGGATTTATCACTCCAGCTGTGGGCCCACCATATGTTTCATTAGCTTTAATTTAACTTGGCTCATAATGTTCTCATTCCTGTCAAGCCTGTTGGATTTGTAAGGAGACTCACCCTGATGACGATCCAGTAGCAGCTTTTCCTTCTGGAGTAAATCAGAGTTTCCTTCTACCTCAGTGACTGCTCACTGCCATTTCCAGACACAGAAGGGCTGCTCTGTCCCATGAAATATGCTTAAAAGGAAAGACCTGTTCTGTCCAACAACCTGTTCTGTTTGTGCCTGTACCATCTTTCAGAGCAAGGCTCAAAGCAGTGTTGTTTTTGTTGTTTTTTTTTAAATACGTTTGAGATGAGTGTTTATTTAGAAGGGATGGAATGAAGATGCCGGTTTAAACTTCTGTTGGTATGGGCGGCAATTTCTTAGGAAAATAGGGATTTGAAAAAATGCAGTAGTGTGTCCAACTTGAACAGAAACAAAGTAATACATGTCATGATATGAAAGAGGCTCATTCAGCTCTAGACATGCGTGGATACCATCAGAAAAATTTGTGTATGAAGTGATGAACTTGGGGGTTTTTGTTTCAATACAGGTTGGATTGGTTGTAATACCCGACAGCACAGCTGGATCTGTTCTATGTGCCATAAATAAGCTCTTGGATCAAGCTTGCATCCTAAGTGAAAACCTGCACAAGTTCTTAGCTTCTTGTTGTTACAGTCTTCTGTACTTTCTGCTAACTTTAGACAAAGAGGACGCAGAACATGTACAGAAAAGGTAATGTTGCTTTTCTTACCATGTTAATGGTCTCTGCCTTTACACCCACAAGTATTTAGACATGTAAAATGAAAGGATACCCCCACCACATCCCCCAATTTACTTTGCTGTTGGTCTTTTGCTTAGTTCAAGACAGTACTTAGATTTAAGAAAAACAGCTGCAAAGTTAGCTGGAATTATTTAAAACAATAACTGAAGTAAGTTTTCATCTCAAATTATTCTAGTTAGATGTCAGAACCGTCCTGACTTTAGAAAGGTGGATATTTATACCTTAATCTTTAGCTTTAGCCTTTAGTTTCATTAGATACGTTGAAGAGCAACATGCAAAGGATTTGGCTTTATAAGCTTGTACTCTTAACTGACTTGATATTTCAGCTTTAACAAAACTTCTCAGGCATCATTTTATAGACTGCAAATCCATTTGATTAAAAAAAACCCAAAAGCTACAGATGCCAGATTTAAATACGTTTATTTACCTGTATAACAGAAATGTCTTTAAACAGTTTAAACTTCAGGTTTTCCTCTGTTCCATATACAGGAAAGTTGTTCAAATCTTACTTAAAACGTAAAACATGTTTTTAAAGCCGCAGTCCTTCACTGACTGTATTTAATGATTTACATATCACAAAAAGCTGATTCCATTGTTTGATTTCTTATGAGTATTAAATAAAGATTCAGGTGTGCCTGACTGGAACAAAAACCTCTTCCCAGCTGCATCAAGCAGAAATTACACTGTGTAAGAGCTTCAGCAACATTTGTAGCTTCAGGGCAGGACCTTAAATTTTTCCCAGTGCTGTACATAATTTTATTATAATTTCAGGTGTAGCATTTTTTGGTACAAATTTTGTGCTTTGGCACTAATTATGGTTAAGGCAATTGGCATGATTGAATTCACAGAGGCATGTTTCTTTGTACAGCTATGAGGCTAGTTCACAGAAGCACACTTGAAATACAGGTCCTCGATCATTTCAATTTTTGTTCTCTTTTCCTCTCAGGGATATGCTGTGGGGATCGTGTATTTCTGCATTAGCACTCCTGCCACGATTACTGAGACTGATGCTGCAAAGTCTGCAAGTGAGCAGGATCTGTCGGGAAGAACTGCCCGTTGTTGCTCAGTTGCTTCGCTTACTAATGCAACATGGTCAGCTCAGGAGCCATATGATCACAAATGAATTTCTGGTGCAACAGATTATCAAGGACATCATGGTATGAAACTTCTTGTTGTCTCCCACAGTTACGAGGGTATACAAGGTTTAAAAATTATTGCAAACACGAAGAACAGATGCTTAGCAAAACACAAGTTATGGTTGTGTTTTATTTGGCTCGGAAGTCCAGACTGTGTAGAAGGCTGCTGCTTATCTGAGCTCCTGTGGTCGCTGCACGGATGAGAGAGTTCTGAAATTTAGCTTGCACCCAATCCAGCGGCCCTGGACAACAGGTGGCTTCCTAACAAAAGGCACCGGCAGTGGATTACCTACACAGCCTGTCTGAGGGAGAGCTGTCCCAAAATAAGAAACTAGTCTTTTCTGTTTATTGGAGCAGGGGTACATAAGTGTACGAGGATGTTATTGAATCAAACTCTCTCAGATATATACAGTGCAAAGTAGATTCTCTTTCAAATATTGCAAAACCCAGCGCTTCTATTCACATGTCTACGTTCCAGTGGTTTTGAGACTACTACAGTTGCTTCTCTCTTCAGGAAAAAAATCTGAAACTGTCTTCACACAAAGCTCTTGCTAGTTCTGAGTGCAGAGAGTTTGTATGTCCCGCAGGTTTGAGTAAGCTACCCACACGTATCCATTAGTAGCTTTTAAAAGGTCTGTTACCAGAAATGACCTCAGTGGCGGCAAAATCAGATGTAAGAGATTATCATGCAAGTTCTCTAACAGAGAATGAAGTGGTTGGTTTCCTTTGGTGTTGAAAATGCCTCAGCCTGTTTTTGTGATGTTCCACTGTGGGTGGGTTGTGTTTGTTGTTGGGGTTTTTTAACTGCTTATGAATGCTAGGGAGAGCGAATTACTGGACTGTGGGCTATGTTGGTAGCAGTTCTCCTGTAGACTGGGGTATTGAGCTCTCCTGCTTTAGTAGAACCACGCTCATTTGCATTTTAATTGACTATAAATTGCAGAATTGGAAAGTAAGCAAGCCACTATAATTAAGAGTACGGAAGTCACATCTGGTGTAATTCACACACTTCATAATGTAACACTGACTTAGTCTACCAAGTAGTAACACTTTATTATTTTGGCTTTAACAGACATACCATGTTAAAATGACTAAATGAGAAGAATAAGGTCACTGTGTGCAAGTGAACAAGGCCATCTTGTACCTTTATCATCGTACCTGATTAACTGTAAAAACAAAGTGAAGCTTTGTTGGTGAAATTGAGTTTTACCTTTTTTCCCCTTCTTTCTAGACACTGAAGAGTGGTGAAGTTCAAGAGCAGTGGCTAACAGACCTCCATTACTGCTTCAACATCTACCTTGCCTCTCATCCCCAGGGACCTGGCCCTATAAACACGGTATATTAAAGAGGTCGAACTGCATTTATTGTAAAGCATTTACTTCTATTTAGTTTTGAATGGAAGATGTTGGAACAAAGCTTGTCAATTTTTTTGTAAGTGAAACAGAATAAAAATTTTACAAAGAACTGCATACCTCTATTGCCTTTCTTTTCAAGCAAGTAGATGTTACTGGAGGTTGTTTTAGTAGATGTGGTGACCGCAGGCAAGGGTGTTAAGCTTCAAGGAGACTGGATTTTCTTTAAGTGCTTGCAGAGAAACAGACTTATATTAACTCCAATCATCTATTATTTTGAAGCATCATATTAATTTAAAAAAAACCCAGAATTATGTAATACCAACTAGCAGAAAAAATAGAAAACAATATACTTTGAAACTAGAGTAACAGTGTTTTATTTTTGCTGAGTTCATATTCTTAAATACTTTGTGCAAGGTAAATACTGTATGCTGGTAGCTCCAAAGCTATTATAAGAACAAGTTTTCTTCTAGAATAGGTCCTATCTTTTCTTGCTTTCTGTAGAAACTCTTTTTGTGCATGTATAAAAACAAAGTTATTAATATAGAAAAAACTGGTGATAATTTCAAAGGGCAGAAAACACACCCCTAACAATTTCCATCGGCTGTGGAAAGCAAGTTTATTTACTGAGTGTTTTCTGTCAATGTTTCTACTTTTCCTTCCAAATCCATAGCTAGCTGAGAGCCAATTGTTTCTTTAGTACAGAAGTAGAGCATGAAGGCTGTTCTTCCCTTCCCACTTAGATTTTGAAATACATTTAATAAATTTGAGGTGAAATAGAATAGCAGTCTTCTAGAACTGTTACAGCTTCAGTACAGTTGCCCTCCCCTTTGAAAGTGTGTTTGATGAACACATTCAAAATTCCTACTTTTGACAACGGAAAACTTTGGGAGCCCCTGCAATGCTGGGGCTTAGCGCTTCATTTTCTGTTTCCAAATGCAATTCAGATTTCATCCTGTCACTAAATAAATTAACAGTTGCATTCAAAAACTAATTTGTACACAAAATAAGTCCAGCTCCTTAGAAGTCTGCTTGGCATGTAATGCTGAGATAATACAAAACTGAAAATGTGTTCAAGTTTAATACGTTGTAGATGACTTGTACATTATGAAAGATAACAGTTGCACCAGAATGTGCTCTTTAAATTCCAAACATTCAGTTTTGCTTAGTGCTTGAGTCCTGTATTTTTTGATTTTGCAGCAGTGGTTGGTCTCATGTTGTATGAAAATTGCTTTGATTTTCCCATGTTCTCCAGCAAATTAACACACTGTAGGTTGTTTACTGTAAAAGAAAAAAGGGGTTTGATGAGTAACTGTAGTGGTTAAAAAGAAGTTTCATCTTCATCTACACTGGATTCTAAATTTTGTAAAAAATGAATCCACCAGGAAAAGAGTGTGCCTTTTTCCTGACACCTTGCTGTTGATTATCTGTAAATAGAGTTTGGTTTCTGTGGCACTCAGTACAGCTTACATAGAATGCAACTGCGTGTGTTTAACGCAGACAGTAATAATGGAGCTTAACTAGAGATTTACCCTCATAAAGGAATGAAGGTTTCCAGGCTGACAGTTCAGTCACTGAATCAATGCTCTTGGCTGAGTTTGCTGAAGAGCAGCAAGAGCTTTTGTTGAGCAATATTTAGCAACTTTAGGTATTGGGTCATTTCTAGAAAGTAGGAGAAACTAGTCCAGGGCTAAAGTGAAGACTGAATTATTAGAAAGCAGAAATGAATGTCAGCTGACCATTCTCTTCAGTTTTGAGTCTGGCTGAAGGGCTGGGCTCATTCAATGTTTTTATTTACTGTAACATGCTACAAACAATATGCATGTTTTCCTTTCCCAGTTTTGTAGAGGACAGATGCGAACATTTCAGTGCTTTATCCCATTCTAGCCAGGTCACCCCAGCTGCAAATCTGAACATTTCATTGAGGGGGAGAACCCAGCTCATCTTAAGGACGCCTTTCTAATGTCAGGAATTGCAAAACCTCCTTTACAACTTATAAACACACTTCAGTGTCCACAGTTAAACAAAAAAAGGGGCTTATCTGTCTGACTTGCTGCAGAGAGCCTCTTCAAATGCCATTTATTGAATTGGCAAAAGCCATCTATTGAATAAAAACATACATGAAAAAGGAACAACTTTCAGGTTCCAGATTGTTTTAATCTTAACAATCATAAAGGCCTTATTTGCCAGAATATTTTGAAGCACCTACCCAGCGTCCGTACGTCCCACTGCACACTCCTATTCAACCTGTCATTCTCTGCCCCCTGTTGCTGACTTGTACATTTCCTTTCAATACCTTCTGTGTCCTCACTCCAAAGTCTGCTTATGCCAATAAGTTAACTGAGTTTGGTGTCAGTCTCCTGTTTGTTGCAGATTTGTCACTGCATGCTTTTTTCACTACCTATATGAACATTAAAACTAGAGCTGACAGTCAGTCTTCACCTTCCCAGATGTACCTTCTGCAAGAGAAGAATCAAACTGAACAGTCTATTCTGACCTACTCCAGGCACCTACGTCAGAACTAGAATATCTGGCATTAGCCACTGACAGCTCTGAACTTTTCCAACAAACGTAATGTTGTCATGCACAAAGGCAGTCAGATGAAAAACATGTTATTGTCTTTAAGTAAGGGCTAAAGTTCCCTGAGCTCCTATTAGGTGAATAAAAGTAGGTAGTGTTCTAAAGGAACTGGGCAGAGTTCCTATCACTATCCTATTCGTCACCAAGTTATGAAAGCAAAGGACACTCAAACCTCAAAAGAAAGCCTTTTTATTTCAGAAGACAGGGAGATCTGTTGTCCTGAAAAGTTAAACGAAAAGAAGCATTATTCGCTAAAGCTCTTTTAAAATTTAGATTAATGTCTGCATGAAGAGGTGGCAATCAAACACCTGTCTGGTCAGGCCTCTTCTTAAAACAGTTTTCAAACAGTGGAATTAAAAAGCCTCTGTCTGTTACTGAGGCAGAAACTCAACTACAGTGCTAACAAACTCAAGGATAGGTCTACTGTCAGATTTCTTTTTGACTTCAGAGTTCTGTTAAGCTAGTTGGAAAATATATTTTGCTTCCCTTTGCAAATTATCTGAACTACTGTCTCCATGAAGCATTTGCTTTTTTGCTACCTAGCTGTGGCCTGCCTCTGAACTACATGCGATAAAACCACAAAGACCAAATGTCCAACGAGGCACTAAACCTTCACATGGCGAAGGGCTGACATTACCATAGCTCCCATCCCCGAGCCAGTGCATAATACAGTGGCAAAGTCTTAAAAATGGCATTTAGTAAAGAATAGGAGAGATGACTGTGCACTCTAACTTCATTTTTTAAGCTGTCAAATAATGCCACATGTATAAAAGTTCCAGCCTTTAATGACTTTGATAATACTTTCACAATCTGTGTTCTTCAACGCTATTCTGTATTATGCAGTGTAGCCCCATCCTGTTTGCCTGCACGGCTTGAAAGTCCTGATCGTGCCAACCCTACTGTCCCAATACCAGTTCCATACATAAAATTTCAAACAGAGCTAAGGCTCTCCCAAGTAAGACCTGGTAATGACTACATGGCTTCGGAGTTGGCAGCAAATAAATGTATGATTTTTGTTAGAGCCTTAAAAGTTACTGCAAGTAAAATTCTATGAAATTAATTGAGGCTCTATGCACAGCACAGGAACCCCATTATGCTCTTTTAGAAGAAAGGGCAGAGATCAGATCAGTAACTTCGGATTTCCAAGTTTTCGTCTATGCACTAAACCGTGTATTTCAAATTAACATGTATAAATTCTTGACAGGTGTAGAAATCTGGTCTCTTTCCTTCTATAGGGCTAGTAAATATTTGTGCTGCTGAACCAAAGTATGAGCATCTGTAAGCAATTTTAACCACAGATGAATGTTAACTGGCTTTTCACTGTACAAGTCCATTATATTAAGGTCTTTCCTAGTAAGAGCCCAATGAAAACTGGTTTTCATGTAAATGATTCAACATAAAGATAAAAGTGCAGTGCTCAAATGAGTCCAAAAGTAGTGAAAGAACGTGCAATCACAACAGTTTGGTGGTAGTTATGTGTTTTGATATGAGATCTCAGTTCTTGAGCAGATTTTTTTTCTTTTCTAAGATGAAACCAATCTCATATGTATATAAACAATAAAGTATTCTTAAAAATGTATATGTCCTACCTGAGACCAGCTGCACATCAGAAAGTTTCAGCTTAGAAGGAGGTCTTGTTGGCTGATGCACTTTGCCTTCCTGAGAACGTCCTTCAACAAACAATATGAACAGCTCTGAGTTTATTCACATAAAGATGTGGTTACGTATAGCTATAAACTATTTTAAGTAGGCTACAGCATTATTTTGTCCTAAAAATTATTCTCATTTATGATGAGGAGACTCATGAGATGTTCTATATGACAGAAAATTGTGATAACCACAACTGAACTTTAACTAAAGTTAAAATACATCTTGCAGTTGCTATAAAAAAGAAGGAAAAGAAAATTATTATCTATATTTAATCATTTTTGGCTATCTAAACTACAGAGCCATGATAGAAGTGACTTATCACTTGGTAAAGCACATATAGTTAGCACATCCTTACTCCATCAGTGATCCATGCTGTAAAGGAACGCAAGGTTTAAAAGCAATGCTTCTCCTCTACCCTTTCCTCAAGATGCATTCCTTTGCACTGTGCACATTCAGGCATAGCGCAAAGCACTGCAGTGTTACCAGAAAAGATGATCTCGCTCTTCAAATAAAGACCAGCTGTCTTCAAACAAGAAAGTTATTAACATGGAACAAGACCATATTCTTCAAATGGAAATATTTAAAAAACAATACAAACCCAAAAAGGTTTAAAACAATGCTTGAAAAAATTAAACCATGATCCAGATAGCCACTGTGCATTGATTGATACAGCCAGCTATCCCCACTTTAACTGCTCTATTCTCTTTCCACATTGATACATGTGAGCAGCTCTGGCAACAGAATTACTTCGTTGCTCAAGACCTGTGCTGGAATAATGCTATTTGGTGATTCAAACAGCTATAGCAACAACCATTTTAAATCACAGGGGTTTTTGTTTGTTTGTTTGTTTTTTTTTCAACCTGAAACAGAAATGCATCACCCAGGACACCTGAGATTCAGACTAATTTTTATAAATAGTTGAAATCCCTAACAATTAGTTAAGAAGTGTATAGAAGAATCCAAAATACAGGGATCACTCTGTTATAAAAATAAAAGCGTAGCTATTTCAAATGAAGTATAGTGAAGACAAAATTACCATAGATCTGCTTAAGGATGGACTGCTTGCTGGTTTTTATGGCTGAGCTGGTTTTGTTTATAGATTTCAGATTTTTACATGAAGGAACTGATTTCAGAGGGCTATGGTTCAGCTGTTTCTTCCAAGCAACCTGAATGAAGAAGGCAGCTGCCTCTTGTCTCCATTTGTCTTCATCTTCTTTGCACTGCCGCTTAGCACTAAGAAGCTGAAACAACTCCTGTCTTAGCTGGTAACTAGAGAGCAGAAAAGAGAAGAGCACTTGTTTTAGGTGACCTGTTTTAACTTCGGTGCTTTCCACGCATCAGTTCACATGGTGGATTACATGAGTAACTGGGAAAACAACTCCCACTGATGTGCTAAGTCATTTGGATGAGAAATGTTTGCTCAGAAGAAAAAGTAGGAGCTGGGTTCAGTTCTGGATGCATCTATTATTTCACACAGCTAATAAAGATCTGGCATTACACGTATCAAAAGTTACAGTACTCCAACATCAGCTTATCAACTGCTTTATAACATATAGAAAATCTAGAGAAGACAAAACCTATAAATATTTATGATATAACAGTATAATCAATACTGTTTTCTCATTTTCACTACATTCACAGCTTAGTAACACCAAATTTTCTCCCGTGCCTTACCGCTTTGTATTCTCAGTCAATCAGTGCAAGAGAAGAGCCAAATATACCTCTTACGCGTTCAACTGCACACTTACTCTACAGAAAACCGAGCTGCTTTCCATCCCTCTGAAGATTCTCCCTTCACCTTGCTTTCAGCAATCTGTTCTTGCTTTTTTTCCCTTCCCTTCAAAGGCTGCCTGTCTCCTGACCCAACCTTGCCACGGCTGCTTTGATCTTGTATGCAGTCAAAGCCCTGTTCCAAGTGGCAATGGTAGATTATCTGTCCTTTTTCCCACTTCGGTGGTTAATGGCACCAGCAACAAGGAGTTGTTGTGGTTTTTTCTTGACTCAGATAGAAGTATTCAATCGAATATTAGCATTTCACACTCACAAGTCAATTAACTGGCCTGGTAATTAACTCTGAATCTTCCAGTACAAGCCTGTCACAAATGAACAGAGAGTCACACTTGTAAAATATGAATTATAAGTGTTTGGTAATGGGCCAAAACACATTGATCCTCATCCCCTTCAGCATTCAAAAAGGCTTCTACTGGATGCCCTGGTAAAGGGAATGAGGAATGAGGGAGAAAGAGGTGATTTTGTTCTGTTGCTCCACCTTCAACAAGTTCTAAATTAAAACAAAAGACAACACAACCAGATACAAATTGTTTAAATATATGTTATAAGCTAATGCACTATATAATTCAAACAAAACAGCAGCCATATATAGAAAATGAGTAAATAAGAGCACAATAGCATGCCAAAGGGGGATGATATGCTCAGTTACAGCCCCAATAATTTTAAACTTTCAATAAGCTCAGTAAATTTTACCTCTGTGAAATTTGCTGGGTGAGACAAACTTATTTAGTCTTAATTTAGTGGAGCTTCAGAATTCAGGCATGTACTGTTACACAGCTCATTAAAAGTACATAACAAATGTGAGGAGCAACTGCATCTTACCAATAAATGTCTGTAGTGCCTACAAGTTGCAAAGCGCTGTATGAATTCAGAACCAAAGCATTATTAAGAGACAAAAGAAAAAAATTATCCAGTTTCGTTAAATAACACGTCACTTACTTAGAACTTTTCAACAGGTTGAGAGAGGGAGAGAAAGTGAAGGGGGGCACAATTACAGTGACTTGCTAACATAACTTGAGCTAAGGATGGGTTATGTGAATACTGCTGCAGGAAAAACAATTGGGGAACTGTTTCATACTTCAGCAGAAAAGAATACTAAGCTATTCTCTTGGAATTCAGTAATTACTGCCAGAAGCCTTTGCTGATACATGAAGTGGCCCATTCACAGGCACTCCACCTTTGCACCCAGCTGTGATTTCATGTTTGTAGAGAACTTCTGGCAGTTTTTAGCAACAAGAGAACAACTGTGAGGCTCTGACACTGCGAAGATGTAGGCAGTTATCTTTAGAGCGTGTGCACATTTTTTTAATTCAGCTCTCCCATAACAGATTGTTCTGATCCTAGTGAGCAAAAAGACGAATGGGACCAAGTTTGCTGCTCCATGAATCTGATGTGGTGCCTTAAAATACTCAATGCTTAGTCAACAAAGCTACTGCACATAAAAGAAACATGGAATACATGTGCAGAATGACAAAGCTGGCAAATGTTATTCAGATTCATTGTTACAGAAGCTCTAATCTTAAAAACTAGCGCTGGTCAAAGTACACCTATAGCAATAATATATGAAGAGAATATAGTTTGATTCCAGCAGGAGAGCAACAATGACAGCAACCAGCTGATTGCCAGCTTCTGTTGACTCACTGTAGACCCTGGAGAATGGCACAGGCCTCAGTGTCCCCCACGAGAGAGCGAGCCAGACACAGGATCTGTAAGCCTCAATGAGCAGGATAAGCAATTAACCTTTGACAAGCCACACACCTTAAAATACACTTTTGAGGACTACATTTATAAAGTTTGTGGACTGTGGGAATTGAAACATCTTCCTGAGAAAGGCAAGTTTAAGACACTTAAGTAGACCAGTAGCATTGTGTTGTAGCTCACAATAGCCCTCAAGAAACTTTCCATAAGTAAATCATGACTATAAAATTTGCAGAGTGAGACAAATGTACTTAATCCTAACTTAGAGAAATGCCAGAATGCAGGCATGTACCTCTATGTCTTTCTTACGTAGAATTATACATTAATGATGTGTAATTCTATTCCTGTCTACAAGTACAAGCTATTTACCAGTGCAAGCCTGGACCTGAAAGACAAACACAGGACTGAGTGGGACCCACAGCCACATAGCAGGCACCTGATAAGAACTGTAATTTGGTGTACAGTGGATGGGAAATTAAGTATGTCAGAAAGAGTGTCAGAATAACTGACATATTAGTAGTCAGCACATACAGCTGCCTAGAAATACACTGCAATAAATGCATTATGATATTGCTGCAAACTTTATGAACTCCATCAAAGCTCTAGCAACACTAAACTGTCCGCAGACATAACGAAGTGACAGTGGAGGAACTGCCAAACTAATCTCTCCTGCAGCCTTGCAGAATTTATGATCCTCGTTAGTGTTCTATAAAATATGAGTTTTGCAAACAGAACAAATATATTTATTCTTCTTTATTAATTCTTTAAATAACAAATGTTATTTAAACAATCTTTAATCTCCACAATTTCCGAAGTGCTGTACGTTAGTGCATGCACTTCTTGGTGACATAACACACCATTGCTGTTTCAGCAGGTGGATAGTTTAGAAGGATCTATCCAAAATCTTTAGATAGTCAAAACTGTAAATGGAATGCAAAGATTTCTACACAGGTAAGCTAGCTCAATACAAGGCTTTAGATCCCAGTTCTTGTGAGGAAATTTGCACAAGCACTCACTACACATCTTTACGCTTTGACTGAAAGCTATGGCATGCACCTACTCCTCTGTAAGGATTTTAATTCGGTGTTAAGTGACAGCAGCATAGCCTTCAGAAGCAGTAGTATCACTTATGAATATACTCTCCTAACCTACTCCTGACTTACTTTAGCTTTTGGTATCTAAAAGGATCTGAACACATAAGACAAGAATTCAGGATCTACATTAGAAAAGGCGGCCAAGGAGGACATTGCCAGCACTAAGCTGCTTGCATAGCATTTGGAAGCAGCAGTGAGAACTGATGGCAGAAGTGGTGGATCACTGGGAGAACAAGTGGCTGCTTTGCTTTGAAGTTCAACAAGTCTGTGACTTTCTTGTACTGGGGACCCCAGAGCTGGATGCATAAATAGCAAACAGAGAGCAAATATGACAGAAGTACAGAAATAGGTAATACTGTACAAAAAAGTCAGAATTTTCGCCAAAAAAAAAGAGGCTCTAAAAAGTTAATTTAAAATACTAAGTTCCAAAATATTAACTTTTCACTGGAATAGGAATGTACTCACAAAAGCCAGTGTAGCTTTTATATTCCAACAACAGTGAAGAGATAGCCTGGAATATTACTGGACTGTAAATCCAACCTCATGCTTGGAATTATTTAGACTGATCAGTAAAAGAGCTGCAGCAAACAGAAGTATTTGCTGAGCCAACACAAATGTTAAAATGACCACATTTCAGTTTAGGAACAAACGGACTGCCAGCTCGGACCGTGGGGTGTCTGGTCTGGTGTCCCTTCCCTAGTAAGGGGCAGCATCAGCTCTTTCTGAGGAAGACAAGACTTCTTTGGACTTCGTAAGTTAACTGTAAAAAGCAATGAGAAATACCAGTTCTCAGAACTCCACAAACAAGTGGCTAGTAATACTTGTCTCTTAGCTACCTGGTGTTTCGTACAATAGGGAACACAGGTAACACTCCACCTTGCAAAGTAAGAAACAGGATTTTTAAGCCTGGAAGCACCACTGAAAGAAGGCAGCACAACCTCATGCCTCTTTTTTAGCTTTCCAGAGCTACGCAGTACTTGGCAAAAAGATCTTTCCTTGTCAAAACAGCACGCTTGTACAGTAAGTATTCAGAACTGTTCTCTCTTAACTTTTGGTCCTGGCATTGCTTGATGCATCCCAGAAGACATTACTGGAGTGGCTGAACAGTCCAGGCTGGCTGCCTCCTGCAGCTGGATGCGTGACAAAGAGAGCAGCCCCTGATGCTCCAGCTCCTGCGTGCTCCCCTCTGCTCCGTGTGGATGCAGAACGGGTTGGATGCAGATGCTACCCTGCACTAGGAAGACTGCTGGTACTTGGCTCCTGGCACAGCAAGGGGAAGAAACAGCCCCTCCAAATTTCTCTGCAAGGGAACCAAAGCTTCCAGCATGACCCAGAAGAAGGGAGGTCTACCAGTGACTCAGCGTTTATTCTGCAGGCAGTTGGGCATTAAGACCTGATTCTGTTATTGCAGGAAACTTGCAGGTTTCCCAGGGATGTTACTACACTCTGTATGCTCCCAGACATCCACCAGCTGCTCCCTTTGATACAGTTTGGTTGTGGGAACAATTTTTTGCATCACTACTGAACTATACCATAGGGTGCGAGAGTTGAGCTCTCAAACGAATTTCCTTGTTATTTTTTCTTTAACTGAACACTAAGAAATATTAAAACATATATGGAACTTAAACTAGTGAGAAACCTGGAAAGATCAGTTATTAGTAAAAATCAGCAATTTATGGTTTTCTGCATCCACATAAAAACTGAAGAAAATTTCAACAAAAATAGGAAATAAAAAATTATGTACATAATATATGCTTCACCTACAGCTGCCATACTCTTCCTGTCAATTTTGATAAGAAATTAAATATTAAGGAGCACATACATCAAGAATGACTGTATTTCTGAGGTTGAAACTCATGTGTTCATGAAAGCAGACAATGGAAAGCGAACACTGGGACATCTCACTCTCTCCTGTCTGCCTCTTCTGTACAGCAGTTGTTCCTGCTCAATCAAGTTATTCAAGTTAGCTTCAAGTTTTGGCAATGAACTTCCAAAGCTTCCAAACCTCTTGTGGTTTGGTTATCCAGTTAAAAGTCAGGTCAGAATACAATTTCAAATATGTAACTAAGCGGTGGTGAAGGGTCTGGTTACAAACACCTTTTCAGGAAAAGCCCTGTACCCCTACATGTGCAATTTTGCTAACGAACACAAGAGCAGTGAACTCTAGGCTTAAGGAAATGTTGATCTGCACTCTCTAAAGAAGTATCAGTGCTTGAAATGGAAGTTTAATAACTTCTCCAATTATTAAGTCATCACTTACCTTGCACTTTTTATGAACTTACTAATGTAATTCTAAGTGACTGAAACCTACTTCCGCTTGTTTGGTGAAGGATTATTAAATTCCTGATTCAGCAGTGGTAATGTTGTAAGCAGAAAGACCAAATAAAGCGTATTGCCCACAAGCCTAATTTAATTTACATTTACATGTATCTCACTTCTCTAGCTACTGAAACAGAAGTCTTACCTTCTCCATGTCCTCTGTATGACCGTAGCAGCATAGTTCTTCTTCCGAAACAGCTCTTTTCTTTTTCTTTCTTTTTCTATTATCTGCATTCGAATCTCTAAAGGAATTAGTTCAATATTTGTACTTTGCCATGCGACAGAACATAACTGATCATCTGCATTCCTGGATCCAATTACGCCTGTTTTTTCCAAGTTCAAGCTGTCATCAGGAGCAGAACACGCTGCTGGGTTTCTTGGCACAGTTCCGGTAGGTTCTGCCTCAGCAGACAATAAAGGGGAGGCCTTTTTTGCTAATTCATTATCTCCCACTTTGTTAGTTTGTTCTACAGCATGCACACTGTCATTTCTGGCGTTTACAAATACCGTTTTGGCACTTCCTGGTCTACTAGAGCCAGCTGGTGAACATCGCTCATCATTTACCTCTTTATTTCTGGATTTCTGCTGATGCCTTTTGCCTTTGGAAGCAGCTTCACACTGCTTTGAGTTTCTCGCAATTCCACCAGTACAACTGACATTGCAGAAGAACACAGCCGTTCCTTCACAATGGTCCCTGTTGCCAGATGAAGACTGACTTTGATCTCTTAATTTTTCTCCAACACTAGCAGTCCTACAAGCAGAAGTAGTACGCCTTCTGCTCCTCCGAGCACAAGTACCCGTTGCCTCGACAGTGTGCTCCTTGTGCTTTTCTCCATCCAGTTCTGTAGCAGCTGCAACCTGATGTTTCACTTCAACTTTTGTTCCCTCTTTTGCTTTACCACAATGGAAATGGACACAACTTGACTTGCTTTTGATGCGTTTCCTCAATGAATCTTTAGACAGAGAAATGGAAACCAACATTCAGTCTCTGATCCAGCAAAACATAGTTTGTGTGTCTAATTTTTTTTGCTCAGTTACCTTTGAGGCACACTAGGATTTACTTAAATGAAAAAAATGTGTAAGCAGGAAGAATCAGAAGAGGACATGGTTGCCTGTAACAGTACAGTTCCAAACTTCTTCATTTGCTGACTGTTCTACAAATATTTTTCTTTCTCACACTACATTTGAGTTAGATGTCTAAAAAAAGTTCACAGGGAGAAACTATTTCTTCACCTACCTGAATATACTGCTGTTCTCCAAAGAAACCAGCTCACCGCGTGGCGCAGGAATGCAGCCCCCTGAACACACCTGCTCATTCCAGTGAAGACACCAAAACAGACCGCCACTGTTTCAAGCTTATTTGCTAAACTTCTGCTCTAGCCACCCTGTATCCTGGCACATGGTGACAGACAGGGTAACCCACTGACCCAGGAAACCCAGAGTGCTTGGCTTCTCAGTATTTTCCTCGACATCCTAAATCAACTGATGAAGTCCTTCCCATTTCTCCCTTGCTGCTGTGTGATAACTGCTTCTAAACACTCTTGTGAGGATGACTCAGAAGCTAGACTGGAGTGCAAAACTGAAAACCTCCCATATACCATCCACCTTCCATTTTGTTTTGAAACTAACAGGAGGATGAGAAAATAGACCAGATACGATGAAATGTAACAAAAAGACAGGGTGTTAAAGGATAGGTAAGAGGGGAAAAAGAAAACAAAGAGATCTTTGATATACTGTGTCATGGTCTAACCCCAGCCAGCAACTAAGAACCAGGCAGCCACTCACTCACTTCCCCCTCACCCAGTGTGATGGGGAAGAGAATTGGGAAAAAAAGTTAAACTTGTGGGTTGAGATAAGAACAGTTTAACAGAACAGAAAGGAAGAAAATAATAATGATAATAATAACAATAATAAAATGACAAGAATAATAATAAAAGAATTGGAATATACAAAACAAGTGGTGCACAATGCAATTGCTCACCACTCACCACTCGATGCCCAGTTAGTTCCCAAGCAGTGATCTGTCCTGCCCAGCCAACTCCCCCCAGTTTATATACTGGGCATGACGTCACATGGTATGGAATACCCCTCTGGCCAGTTTGGGTCAGCTGCCCTGGCTGTGTCCCCTCCCAACTTCTCGTGCCCCTCCAGCTCTTGCTGGCTGGGCATGAGAAGCTGAAAAATCCTTGACTTAGGCTAAACACTACTGAGCAACAACTGAAAACATCAGTGTTATCAACATTCTTCTCATACTGAACTCAAAACATAGCACTGTACCAGCTACTGGAAAGAAAGTTAACTTTATCCCAGCCAAAACCAGGACAACTGGAATCAAAGAAAATCTTCTGTATCATCCAAAACCTGGTGAAACCGTGCTATATTTATCCTCACTGTAATGCCTTTAGAGGATACTCTTTTGACTGGATAACAGAAGATGGCACATTAACAGATTACACAGAAGAAACTAATGATTATCATCAATGATGTCTCCAACATGGAAGATTTATCATAGTGACAGGTCAGCATGGGCTGAGAGGCTACTCTAACTTATACATGATTTTCATATGGGTAGATAGCCCTGTATGTTCTGGGACAGGGGAAAAAAAATTCTATTATTTTAATATATTTTAATCTAGTATTAATTTAATTAATGATTTCTTATCTATTTTGATATATTATTTTAATCTCCCAGAATGGAGAAAGAAATCCCCTCTCTCTTGTGTTACATCAGGGGAATAGACAATTTAAAAAATGTTCCTTCTGATGTCAAGATTTCTATGGGCATAATACCACTCCTAATGAAGCCAAGTAAAAAACTGCTAGTGCCATCAATAAAAAAGGTATAGGGCTGACCATCAGTTCAAACATATGAAATTTCCAGCACTGTTACAGCACTATTTTGATCTCTCAGCAAGGTAAAAGAACACAGCTTTTTAAAAAAGGCCTTGTCATTCTGAACTCACCAAAACCTGCTACCTGGTTTGCACGTACAGCATGTAGAATGCTTTTTTACTTCAATCATAAGACATTTTAGTAGTACATGCAAACTTCCCAATCTGAACAACTGGGTAACTGGATAATGAAAAAAACCCATAATTTAAGTATCCTAGCTCATCTTTTGAGGTTGAAATAAACTTTCATAGACAGGAAGACCGAGCAATAACAAGTACAGAGCACAAAAAAAGAACTTAACCTGTTTGCACTACAGTTAAGGCAAATGAAAGAGGATTTCTCTGCAGAGAACAGATCAGAAAAGACCCGCCAACTAAATCACAGTTTTCACAGCCCACAGGATGTAAATTTATATTTAATTCCAATAAAACGTCCTATGAAGTCCATTAAAGTTTTGGTCACAAGAGGATTAAAACACCTAATGAGAACTGATTAAAGAACTTGATGATTTGATCCTTGCTGCATCAACTTTCCTGGCATCATTTCAATAGCAAAAAGACAATGCATGCCTAAAAATGGAATAGCATTTTATTTCAAACACAGGCTTTTTGGACTGGGCAAGAGGGGACTTTCTTTACAATCTCTGAAAGTAAACTGGTCTTGCTGTAGAAGAAGTAGACACGTTACGTATTTTCAGAGGAACCTTGAGTAAAGAGTTTTATTCTCTTCATTTTCAACACTCATGGTGAAGAAAGATAATAAACAATAGCAAATAATTTTCTATTTAAAATTAAAATTCTATCTTTTACAGATATTATATTCTGCTTTTAAAGATATACTGAAAAGCAAAAAATCTCTGGGCAATAGCCTATATGACTTTAAAATTTTACTTGTAGAACCATCACCACGGAAAAATTATTTTGGCATAGCTACATCAGGAAATCTCCAACTTCAGGGAAGCCTTCAATCAAAAGTCCAACCTACAGGCTGCTAGCATTTGCTGCTGGTTTGAATTCCCTAGGTTACTGTGAAGGGTAGTGCAGACAACAGAACATAAATGCAGTTTTTCAAATATAAGTATCAATATTAGAATCCTCTGCACAAAATTTGGCAAATTCAGTCCTGATCTCTGTAGTCAGTTTGACTCTATAGCCCATGTTTCCCATGGACTACCTACTACCTACTTCCTTAGGTCATTCTCTCAGTGCAAAACCATTATATTTGTTCCAAGAAACAGTAGGGGTCTGACTGATGCAATGCAGTTTCCATTGTCATAACCAATGGAAGATTTTGGCTAAAAATGGATACTGCAGTCAGTAAAAGAAAAGGCTGTTTGCTCCTCTTTTATAGTTTCTTTGTCCTTCTTCTCTTCTCCCCCCTTCACTGTTGTAATCCTCCTCACATCTTTCTTACTCCTTTTTTCTCCTCATTACGTTCATTACAACTATCCATTTTTCATTTGGCTACCACTGTTTCTGATTATTCTTACATGTTTTACTTTGCCATCTGAATATTTTAATTAATATAAAGTTAATACACGTGCAGGTAAAGCTTGCTAGAATTTTTAACACCTCTGTTTATCATTACTTAGCTACCATAGTATATGTTAGGCTAAGATATATATGTCTGCTTTTACTATGACAATATAGTCAAGTATTCCATTTACAAAGGCATTTCCATGTAAAAGCTAAAGATATCTAGGTAAAATGATTCAGTAGGAACAGCTCTTTGACTTTCTTTTCTCTTGGATTTTTATAATATTCTGATTAGCAGAAATTCCAGAACAATTAGCAGTAATTTTACATCTGAGAAGGAGTTCTTGCGATTTACTTTAAATAAACTACTTACCCAATTTTTGCTTCTAATGGTAGCAAAGGTGCTTTAACATCACCAGTTTTGAAAGGTTTAAGCCATAGGCTCCTATAACTGGCTGAAGTCAGAACTGGTTGAAATGTTATTAAAACGTGTATCTTGCAAAACTAATATAGGAATGGTCAAGAAATGATGATAAATCAATGATGGATTTACAGGCAGAACTGAAAGAGTGCAGCAGGGCAAGAAAAGTAACAAAGAGCTTTGACATGCTCTTTCATAGTACAATTTCTAAAAACAGTCTCACTTCTCAAAAAATATCCTAGAGTGTTCTCAACAAGACTTCAGAGACAAATCATAGGAGAACCCTCTTACACAGAATGAAGCTGACTGAGCAGCTTCCTCTATATGCTAGAGATGTCACTTAAAACAATTTTATCCTCATTTTAACCTCGTTTAAAAACAAGAGTTACCATTTCTCCATTAACCTTCTTCAAGTATCCCACACATATGCCAAATATCTTTAATCTCATTTTCTCCAAACAGTTCAAGGAATAGAACAACTACCAACAACCTGTTCTCACATATTTTAGGTATTTTTACAGACACTGTATATACAGGTATTTTTGACTACTTAAGTTGACAGAACACACAGTAAAAGAATCTGTATCTAACTCTATCCTACATGAATTGCTTAAATAATGAAAGAGTAAGAAATGATACAAAGATGAAACGGGTCCTATATATAAAACACTCCCAGACATGGACAAAAAGGATCATCAGGACAATTAAAAAAAGATTACAAACCTTGCCTGATTTTATGACCTTCACTCTGAGGCTCTGCTGACAGGCAACTCTCCTTTGGCGTCCCTTTGTTGTGACAAGCTTTAGGTGAACCTCTGCTGTTTCTCCCTGGTTGAATTTGTGAAGCATTGAGGGACAGAGGTCTCTTATTCTGTGTATCGATTGGTTTATTAGGTAACTGTGAGATGCTGGTAGTCTTCTCTCGATTTGCAGGATTCTGTTGTACTCGAAACCTATTTTGTTCCACGTTCTGCATCCCTTTCTGTAGCTTAGCTTCTTTTCTCTTACTTTCCTCTTCACGTTTCCTGTAATTATAGTCAATACCATAAGAATTCCAAAGACAAAATCTTGGGAGCATGTATCTAACTTGAACACATACCTCCCTAGAAACCTGACACTGCCACAATAAAACCTTGACTATAGCATCTTTTTTGTGAGAAAGGGACACCTATTGCATTGAAGTATCTTAGCTTGATCCAAAGTTAACAACTGACTTGCAGCTACAGCCTAATGACGGTGCAGTCCTTATCAGCCAGCTGCCCATTCAATTTGCAGTGGCCTAAACTGAGTTTCCCTCATTGAAAACAATGAAATTTAGGTTTTTTATAAATAAAATTAAAAAATTAAAAGCAGGATTTTGAAGAGGTGCCAGAAGATAAGAAATATGATACTAATAACTATGTTTTTAATTAGTAATGAACAAGACTTTAATATAAGTAGTAATGCAATGCACTGTATTTGAAAATCAGAAAACTTAAATAAAAGATATCATCTCTTTGAAAATTATTTTTCATACTTACTTGTGTCATAATTAATACAGATAATTATAAACCAACTTCAAACTAGCTACTGGTACTAACTTGCTGGTATATATTTATCCTTGGTAGATAATTATTTTAAATAAATAGAGTATACGTTATACAAATGATAAATACTGAAAATACGAGATGTGAATTAAAAACTTTTGTGCACATAGTATGCCATTGCAATTATGACATTCGGTTTTCAAAAATGAAGGAAGTCATGCATCTCTTAAATGGTGTAGATATAAAAGAGAATTTTGGACAAGGTTAGGAAAGGCACGTCTGTTGAATAAAGTTTTGCAGCTTATTTTGAAATACAGTGGGATATCATTGCACTTCAGATTTTAAATTCTTTTTCCTACAAAGCAGAATAAACCCAATAGCACATAGCAAACATTACATACCTACCTACCATTGAATTTGTTTTTATAAATTAAGCACTGGTTGTAAGATGAAGTGACAATTTTCCTTTTGGAATGGACAGGTGGTAAATGTCGTATCATGTAACTGCCTGATATTTTAACTTGCTTCCAATGCTACAACATAGTTTGCAGACTGTTGACACATTAGCTCACAGCACAGCATATGACAGGTTAGTTATGCAGCATGCCATCCTCAGTTCCTGTGAGTCGTATCAATGCCAGTATATGTCATTTCAGTGTGAGCTGCCAGGGAGAAGCCCTAACTTTATCTGTCAGTACTATCTTATCAAGTACGCTCTGCAGAAGCAGCTGATTGAACTTTGTACCTTAAAAGCTGCTAATTGATCTAAAAAATACACTCCTGGCAGCCTGAGGTTCAGTATTCCCTCTGGCATGGAAAAAAGCGGCTAGTTTCAAATAATATCGGCATTCCACAACTGGGCTATGTGGGGATGTCTGTCTTGTGTACAGTATGGATCTCACTGCCATTACTCTGTCATTTGAGCTGATAAATCAGATCTTACTATTCACAGAATAGTCATTTTCTTTTCTTCACAAGAATCAAGCAGCCTATTACCAGTATCCTCCATTCAGGTTATTAAAAAAGAAAGTGTGAGACAGGTTGTGTAGTACACCATCAAGCCAGAGTGGCTGGCACTCTTTGGATGAGCAGATTAACTCAAAACGTTAACTTCAGCAACATACTGATTGTAAAGTTACTGAAATGACTCAGTACCAAAAACTAAGAAATAAAAGGGGATTTTTTTAAAAAGGTCTTGTTTGTGTGCTAATTTTTCAGATTAAACCGACGCAATAATAAATGGAAGGGATTTCAAAGCTCCCTATTCATAGACCGTCTTCCTAATTGTCACAGTAGAGCTTAGTTAATTAACAGACTCCTGAATACTTACGAACCTCCCCTTGTCTTTTGCTTTATTTAGTCAGAAATTCGGTTTGCATTACAAAGAAGGATTTCTTTTAAATAAAAATTTCCAGGTTTTACTGTTGTCTAAGTTGAGAGACTAGGTTCTACAAACAAGTAAAGGAAGTAGACAAGTTCCTAACCTAAGGGCTCTCAGTCAATTGTCAGGAGGTTCTGGTGACTCAACAGGATCCAAATTTGGGCTCTAAAGTTAGACAGTTACAGCTCGATAGTGATAACAAAGCTGGCAAGCCAACATTTTCCACTACAATTGAAACAGAATTTTGTCCTGAATGGTCATAAATTTGTATTTCATTACAAAAGTGAGGGAACGGAAAACTGAGCCTTTAGCAGATGGAAAGGAACAGTTTCAGCCTTACGTGTTTGTGAAGACACAGAGATGCTTTGAATTTTTTGATCCTGCTAAAATGAATCCAACATTTTCTATTCTGTTGAGAACACTTTGCTTTTTGTATCTACTCTGCGGAAGATGTTTTAAATTTAGAACATGTCCTTGTGCCTGGAGAGCATTTTTAAAGTTATCCTTGCAAAAAAAAAGTTACTTAAAAAATCATAATAGAAAATAGATCTCCAGGTATGATTCTACTACTGCTGAAGCTTTATCTGGACCAAGAGGAGTTATATTTCATGTTGTATAAACAGCCGCCTCCTGCTATACAATCTAGCATGATGCTTGTTTTTAAAAGCATGACACTGTTCACTCACTACATGTTCAGCTTCTGCTATACTACAATCTTTTAACAGATAGTCCTTAACAAAAATGCTAAGACGACAGTTAATTTCTGTCCAGTATTCCTATGCTGATTGGTCTTCCCAAATGTGTAAAGCAGTCCATTTGTCCTTACCTAACTACCTATTTTTTCCTCAATCATTTCTCATGTGTATTTTAACACCATTCTGATTTCTAATTTAGTCTTCGATGTGATTACAGTCTTCTGCATCTTGGTGCCATTTGTAAATTTAACATTTTACTTTTTAAATGAAAATATTGCATAGTATCAGATTCAAGATGGATTTATGTGAAATTCTCAACAATATACACTTCCAGTTTAAAGCTGAACCATTAAGAATTACTCTTTGCATATGTTATTCCAAGCAGTTTTCACCCATCTAATAGCAGTTTAATTCATGCTACATTGCCCTACTTTGCTAACGAGAATGACACCTGAAAAAGTATGAAAACTTCAGGCAAGTTTGAATGACAGCTACCGTTCCTGCATGGCCACAAAACTTGTTATTCTGTCACAAAAGAAAATTTGAGTTAGTTTGATATAATTTGTTCTTAGCAAATTCAGACCAGCCATTACTTCTTGCTTTGTTATGTTCCAGAAACATAGAAGTTTGATTACTCATTCCAGGATAAGAAAGGTATGGAGTTACTATAATGAGTCCAGTGAAAGGCCAGGGAGAAGCTTAAGGGACTGGAGCATCTTTCATATGCAAAGAGGCTAAAAGAGCTAGGACTATTCAGCCCGGACAAGGGAATGCTCATGGGGGAATCTCACCTATGTCTATAAATACCTGATGGGAGGGAATGAAGAAGATGGAGCCAGGCTGTTCTCAGTAGTACCCATTGACAGGACAGCAGGGAATAAGCATAAATTAAAACTCATTAAATTTCTGTACACTGGAACAGGTTGCCCAGAGAGGTTGTGGAGTCTCCATTTGCATAGATATTCAAAACCTGACTGGACATTGTCCCGGGCAAGCTGCTCTAGCTGACCCTGTTTGAGCAGGGGCAGGGATGGACTAGATGATCTCAAGAGGTCCTTTCCAACCTCAACAATTCTGTCGTTCTTGGGATTGACGTTTATAGGTCTACAGACTCCCCTTCTTCCCCTTTGAGAATGCAGACACTGCTCATTTCATGAATTCTCTAGTCCCACTGGTCCTCCTAAAGTTTTGAAGGGTAACCATTTTAAGATTGTATCACCCAGTTTTCTAAACAACTCAGGATTAATTTTGTTAGGCTAAGCTGATCTGAAAGCATCTCACTCACTCAATTAGTCTCTAAACTGTTGTTTCGGTATTTTAGCCTGCATTGCTGCCCTTTGTTACTAGTGTGAATTCCATTTGCTAATGGACATAATTTGACATTTAAGGAAGACTGAAGCAAAAAGACATAGAACACTTCAGCCTTCTTAGCATCACTTGTGGACCAACTCTTTCTTTGCTCCTCCTTTTACAATGTGTATGTTTACAATGATTTATTGTGATACCTCACATCCCTTGCTAGTTGTTCTTATTTTGTGCCTCCGGTTCTTTAATTTTATCACTGTATGTTATTATTGCCCTCAATTTTAGTTATTGCACCAAATTTCCACTATGTGCTTTCCCTTGAAGAGCTCATTATTTTCTCTGTTGCTACACTTTCTATCTTTTCTCAGCATGCAGGCCTTATTACCAGTTTTTTGAAGAACCTCATAATCTGCTTGTACTCCCTTGCCGCTAGAACATTTTTCTAAATCTATTGAAGGCTGTTTAATTGAACTGTTTTACTTTCTTGCTGTTCTTCTCTTCCTAAATACCATGAGTTACTTACTCACTTTAAGCCATTTCCCTTTCATACCCACATTCTCAAACAGTTTCCTCCAACTGGTCAGAATGAAATCGAGAAGACTTAGTAAAAAACGGAAGTATGGATTCAGGAACTTATTCTGTGAAATTCAAAGGGAAGGTGAACAAGTGATGAATAAGTTCTGCAGCCCGTTCAAAACCCAATATACTGGACATCAATTTTCTCCGAATATGCTTTAAACCCTTAAATATTATTTTCCTAAAGACCTGATTTTGTAAAAAGTAAACCAAAAGCCTTTTTGTAAAAAAGTTTTAGAACCCCATCATTTTACATGCATGTAGTCTGTTTTTTAAATGCCTCCTTCCTAGATTGCCTCTGTACTGCTCTCCTAAAGCACTACTTCCCTCCTGCCAGGTTCTTCATCCCACCTGTTAATAATCAGTTACTTTTACTCCCACTGAAGAAGAGCACCTATTATATTGACACATTTCTGGCTGTTAAAATGTTTAATGCTCATACATCCCATCAACACTGCCCTCTTCCAAATGATCATAGGAAGGGATCTCAGGAAGTTATCAGGGCCAATATTCTGCTCAAAAAAGTATCAGCTATGAGGTCATACTGGGTTTTTCAGGGGTTTATCCAGTTGGGTCCTGAAAACCTTTAAGGCTAGAGACCACACAACCTCTCTGGGCAACCCGTTCCACTGGTTGATTGTCCCAGGGGTGAAAAAAATTCTATTTCCAGTCAAAATCTCTGTTGTTTCACCTTACGTCCGTTACAAGTTTCCCAGGGAACAAAGTGAAGCCAACCAGTCTGCAGTTCCCCAGATTGTTCTTTTGGCTCTTTTCGAAGTTGGGTGCAACATTTGCTTTCCTCCATTCATTGGGGACCTTCCCTGGCCTCTGTGACTTTTCAAAGATGTTGGAAAGTGGCCTTTTAAGGACATCAGTTAGTTCTCTTGGCACCCTTGGATGCAACCCATCTGGTCCCACGGACTTGTCTGGGCTGAGTTCTCTCAAGCGATCCCTGACTTAATCCTCATTGACAGCTGGCAGTTCTCGTCCTTGAACCACTTCTCTAAGCACAGAAGCCTGGGAGACCTTCTTGGTGAAGACTGAGGAAAAGGCGGCATTGAGTACTTCTGCCACACCTGTGTCTGTTGTCACTAAATCACTCGCAACATTCAGCAACAGGCCCACATTTTCCTTGCTCAGCCTTTTACTACTAACATAGAGGCAGAAGCTCACCTTGTTACCTGTGACATTCCTTGAAAGCCTCAACTCCATTTGAGTTTTGGCTTTTCTGACACCATCCCTACATGCTCAAGCAATGCTTTTACACTCTTCCTTTGCAGCGTGTCCCTGCTTTCACCTCATGTATACTGCCTTTTTGTATTTGAGCTCTGTCATGGATTCCCTGCTTATCCTAATTGGTCTCCTGATACATCTTTTTGCTCAATGACATAATAGTGTGCGTATCGTTTTGGCCTGCATCAATCTTCATTTTATAAATTACTATTTCTTTGATATAGGTTTGTTCAACATGGGAGAATATATTTGTACAGAAATATTTCACAGGCATTGAATAGAGTGAATGTAACTTTACCAGAAAACAATACAGGTATAAGATGTTGGTTGGCTTGTTGTTAAGGGGTGGGACAGGGCGGGGGAAGAAAAAGAACAGACTAATTAAAAACATGCAGACTTAGGAATGATTTATATTAGTGAGACTCTCTAAAGTAACACATTACAAAGCAAGTTTTAAATACATACACTGAAATGGGGGTGGGGTGGGGGGGTGTTCAATCTAGAAGTTCACCATCATTCTGGATCCCCACATAACGTCTACCTTTATCTGGAGAGCAGATTTTTAAACATCAGTAGGGATATTAGTTTTTTGTATGTAGCAAAACCCTAGTCAATTTTAGCTGTGGAATGCACAGATGGGTATGCAGAATGATGACAACATAATGTCCCCTTCAGTTTATTACAGATCATAAAATTGCAATTAAATAAAATTTGTTATGTGACAACTTGATTTGCTTGTACACTCCAATTGTATTTTAATTCTGTTTTTATGGTATTTGGTACACAGACTTTGTTTCTATTGTGTTCAAACAAATCAACAACAGCTTAGTAAGTTTCAGAAAGTACATAAGAAATTCACAAAGGAAAACAATTATAAGAACACCCCCAAATTTCCATGAGGCAATCCTTTCTCATTTAATCTTCTAGATGGGGTATCACGGATTCTTCTAAAAATGACTGTCATCACAAAGACTAAAATTACCTCATTTGGTAAAGTCAGTTGTGACCACACAGCAAGAAGCAGAGTTCTCCAAATTAAAAATAAATATATAAGATACTTGGGATATTTTCAAAGGCTTCTCCATGCATGGGTTTGACTTCTACTGACTTCAGCAGAAAAGGCAAATAGTAGGAGGGCTGCAAGTTACAACTTTAGGATCTAAAGATGTGAGCAAGAGATTAGTTATTTGATATTTCTAGCTTTGGTTCTTACTGGCTATTAACAATTATTAACCAGTATAGCAGTAGCATTCAAACCCAATGAAGGTCAGACTGGCCAGTTACGCAGAACATCAAACTACCAAATTTGAAATAGAGCAGAGTGCAGCTGAATTTGTCTATGATAGGCGGATGCAACAAAAATACTTCTAGGTACAATAATTATGTTGTGTATTTATTCATATGACCTCTCTTTACATAAATAATACTATGAAATCATGCAGAAATCTTTCAGACTGTTTTTTCATTCCAGAATCAGATTTCTTCAAGAGAAACCAGGTGCTAATTTGTTCTTCTTCATATTATGAATCTGAAGGATAAAGCCCAAGAAAGCGAAGTATTTTGATGATCATTTATGTACCTTCTGATTTTAGAATTTCACCATTTTGCTACCATTACCTCATTTAAATAAGGTAGAAACGCAGTCAGAACCTACACGTCTTACAAATAACTATTTGCATTGCATGTGTTAGTTACCTATAATATAATACAATGATTTCATGGTAACTCTCTAATTCAAGAGCAGAAAATGTAAGTGCAGAGAATGATACTGCCAAGACAGAAGCTGCAAATAAAATCCAGGAGTTCAGTTTGCTACAAAAGCACAACCTCCCCTGTGAAACAGTTAAGCCTTATTAAGCCAGGCTTTTCCTGTTTGTTTTTTTTTTCTTCATCTACTTACTAATTTCTTCGCAAAACTGATATCAAAGACTTGATAAGTCAATAATTAATTCCATTACCTTAGAGTGATAAACGTTTTCCAAGCCTTTTTATCATCATACAGAATGTCAGTTAAAGATTCATGGATGCTAACATGCTAGTTTCTCAGATTTTGGTATTTTGTCTTGTTCTTGTATATTATATAAAGCTTGTTATTTAATTTGGGATTATCTAGAAAATAATTTCCATCTATAAGGGTATATGGAAAAAAAATCCATTATAAGCTTCTCACAGTTTCATGAATTTTACTAAGAGGAACAATAAATGATGATAAGTAACAAAATCGTACACTGATATACACAAACTTATGACAAATGTCTATTTGCTGGAGTAGATTTCAAGTCTCAGACTTACTTGGCAGCAGCATCTTTTCTCAACTGTTCATGTTTCATTAGAAGATTCTTCCTCTCTTGAAAAGCCTTTCTAACTTTGTATCCTTTGTAGACAGCCTGAATTTTGAAAGCAGCGATGTCCTGTATGGCCGCTATAGACAGAGCCCCATGTTCTAGCATGAACTGAATCACTTCATGGTGTTCACCAAGCAAGGCATAATCAAGTGGAGTATATCTAAAAAAAACCCACAACAAAACAAACCCACAACTATTATCATGGAACTAGAATTCTAACCATAATGTCCATTTCCTTCATCCTCATTTCATAATAAGGCAACTTCTAGTATGAAGACAGATTAAACACTGTTCTCAGTAGGCTGTTTTACTAATTTTTTAATATTATTTTCCTCTTCCTTTCCTTACTCATTCTACACACCGTGACTATGTTTGAGGCTTATTTTAGTCTCCTAATACAGGGGGTCGGGGACGGGACGATGACACACACGACACACACTATATGAAGTGTTGGGTCAAAAACCTCCAAAGCCCTATCCATAGAATTAACTGCTTTAGGCAAGCAGTCTTGAAAAAGTGTTATTGAGGTTCTCATATAGAAATATAGTTTAAATGAAAAAAAAAGTTAAAACATTTTTTATGCTATTTTCATATGAATTTAAGTTTTAGAGATTTACTGTCAAATCTGGCTTAGCTTCTATAGCAATGACTGAGGACAGTATGACTGACCAAGCAGCAGGATTACACTTGCATCAAGGGATAATACATTTTCTTTTAAAGCACTAGGAAGACTTAAGTCTGTTTTCAAATGGACACAGGTGCTAAAAATACTAAATGGCTTTGGTTTTTAATGGTGTCAAAGATGCCTAAGCCCTTTTAAAAATAATTCTCATATTTCCCATTGTCAACACAGGAGCAAATTTTACATACCTCCCTCACCAACACTGAAACATTAGGCAGAGACATTTAGTGACTGAAAATTATCAGTCACAAGCCATAATCAAGACCATATAATACAAGACTACCAAATAGCAAGTGTCAATGCATGCGATTGTGAAAATTAGGGCTCTTCTTGATGGTAACTTGCAAGGACGCAATGCTGGTAAGCAAAGAAAAACAGACAGAAAGCACAATTGGACTTGCCACGCAGCAAGGATTTGATGGAAGGATTAACAGTATCTGAACTGAAGTGTCTGCAGGAATAAAGACAGTGACATAACATGAAAATTTGTATGTCAAGGTGTGCTGCTGATAGCATTTAAAGAGATACAGATTTTTGATAACCCAGGAATGGGAACTTCAGAAGGGACTTCATTTCAGAAAAACACATTTTTAAAGTATACCTAGTTTTGAATATTTTAATTAACAGGTACAAAAGATACTAAAGTAAACATCATGTTACTACCATGTATGTACAAAGACAATGTATTATATTATGGATCCCAGTCATGGAGGCTCATATTTTTAAATATGGATTCTCTAACTCCATTAGAGCTACCTCTGAAAGTAAAAAATCACTCAAATCTGAATACGGGTTTGTACGACTGGACGCTACCCATTCAAGGCTGCTCACATACGCTCCTCACAACCAGCCATTACTCTGTTGTGTCAGTTCAAAGCCTGTTATAAATTTTCTTTTCCACTGGTTATCTCTAAAGCAGATAGCTTTTAAATCAAGCTGGCTTCACAGGAAAACACACAAAGACGACATCAGCCATCAGGTGTTACATGTAATTTAGCATGAAGTTGGTCAAGCAGCAGTTAGCCTGTCATCACATGATGCACCCAGGACATCAAGTTGGATTATGAAACAAATTTGCAAAGAACAACAAACCTACCACCCTCCAGACTTAATCACATATCTGCAAGCATGTGATCTAGCTTAAAAACCTAGATGCAATCTCAGGTCCATCTTTTCACAAACCTATTTAGTTTTAACCACTATGTTTGAATTTTGAACTGGTATCTCATATTGCGCTCTAAGAAAGTGAAGAAGGGAAGCTTCTTTCTATAGGTATGTCGGGAAAAAATTCACTATTTGGTGAAATTATTACTGATTAAAAAACAATTTCATCCAATTACAGATGAATCATATCCATGAAATTATTTTTACTCTCTCTTACAACACTCAACTTGATTTTTCCACTTTCCATACTTCTGATCTCTTAACAATGAAACAAGGTTTTGTAGATGTTTACTAAGAGGCCATTGTGCGATTTTTATATACAATATATGTATTTTTAGGAGAATTATAATTAAAGACTGATTCATCTAGAAATATTGGGAATCTGTTTCGTTCTCTACATGGACTAGCACTTAAGGGCTGACATTTGGAATACTGCCAGTTATATTTTGAGTAATCTAGTTTTATACATAAGAACATATATTAATGCCAGAAGGGAAAAAAAAAAAAAAGATACTAACTGAATGACTACACTAAAATCACAGCTAAGGACTTTTCCTGACATTTGAGCATCATTAGTACATTTCTGCAAAGTAAGGAAAATAGCAGCCTCCTTTCTGGCAAAATAGTGGCTTTTAATCTTACTTATTAAGAGTAATTTAATTACAAGTGTTTATTTAATTTTCTATCAAAAATTACTAAAGAGACCATTGGCACTACTTAATTAGGAACTACTTATACTTTCATTTGTGTTTCTCAATAAAAAAATAAGAACAGAAAAGGAAGAGATATCTGAGTCATTTAGAGTAGAGAACAAAAGAGAAATGATGGGGGAATAAAGCAATTAAAAACTGGGATACGTATGGAAGTCTCAAGTTTAGCACTAAAATATAGGGTTTCAAAGTCCTTAAGTTCTTTAAAATGTTGAAATATTCAAATTTATATGGCATACTAATCATAATTTTATTTATAATTATGAGGAGGTCATCTACTCTAAAAAAGGCATTATAAATTTCTGCTAATAGTAATTATCTTCATGGTCAGGTGACTAATTTGAACTCCACAACCCAAATCACTTTTAAAAAACTACTCATTATATGTCAATGAAAGACAAAGAAAAGAGATGCAAATGTACTGTCTCTTTATGATTATAGGAGGATTTTATTTTTTTTTAAACTAGGCCTTTAGAATACAGTTAACCACCAGGTAATTTGTAATCACTATTTTAAAACATAACATTACATTTCTCCCATTTTCTTTCTTCTCACGGTATTCCTACCAAATAGAAAAGAAAGATTCCGGTCTACTCCAACAGCAGCAGAAATGCCTTTTCATCCTTTGTCCATTCATATCCACTGTTGACTTCACATAAATGAAAAAGATCTTTAAAATTTAAAAGATCTTTAATATTTCAAACAAGACTAGAATGAGCAAATACTCAAGTTCAAGGTTCAAAAGTATAAACAGTTGAAGTTGCAATGTCTTGCTTAAAGAAGAGATTTTTCACATTGGAAAAGCTGCTTCCACTGAAGCCCAAGATTACAGCACTCCTTTTAGATACAAGATCACAATTCTCTGGCAATATCCAAACACTTAACATTTAAATCAGTATGAAGCACTTTTGCTAATTTACGAAATAATGCATTCAGATAAGAAATACCTCTCCTCACTGTTCTCCATATGATTAGGGAAAGCATCAAAACCAAGCAGCAACTTTATAGCATCAAGGTAGCCATTGTTACAGAGCCAGTGCAAAGCAGTTCTTCCCTGTGAACAATAAAACAGAACAAAAATAAATACTATCCCCAAACTCTATCATGCCACAATAAAAGTCATAAATCATACTGTAATTCAATGCTTTTCTGGACATGAAGGACAAACTAATTGTTTGAAATAAACTTCCTTGTTAAAATAAAAGAATACAGCACTTAAAAATGAAGTAACTTTTTTTTTTTTAAAACAAGATTACACCACTAGTGCTTTTTAACCTAAAGCAGCTGAAAAACAGCATTAGGAGACTAGTTCTAGAGTTGCTTTCTTTGCAGCTATGCCGCCCAGGTCTGAAGCGGCTCTCATCAACCTTTGTTGTTCAGACTGTTTTCTAGGCTGCTCCAAAACACTGTGACAAGACTGAAAGAAATACTACAGAATTCAAAATCAGATGAAGTTTGAGGAAAGCTTATCAGCCCAGGCAAACAAAGACAAGACTCCAGCTGTGCTTTCAAAATGAGCTTGATTTCAGAAGTCCAGTCTCTCTCACATGAAGCAGAGGTCCAACTCTCAAGCTGTGCTCTACACAGCCAGTTCATATATGACTACTCTTCGGACTGGGATCACAGAACCACAATACAAATACCTCAAGCTCTGTCAATATCAACAAAACATAGATATTTCACTTCACTTCCAGGCCATGCCTCCTGTCTGTGTCTTGCTTTTCTGAACTCCAAATGTAGGAGATACCTAGAAGGCTGGGTACCACAGAAAAACATGAAGGCTTTCGGAGTTCAGTGCTAAACAAGCCACCTCCTGAACCCCAAGGGCTGAAGAGCATGCTGCAGTGTCTCTGTGTGAAGTAGGTGAAGTGGATGTGTCCAGCTGTACTCAAGCTCACGCCATACAGAGCTGGTGTCAGTTTGGAAAATCTCCCCAGCATGCTCTGTAGAACTCATAATACAAAAAACTTTTCCATTACCTGGAATTATGCCCTGCAATGAATAGCTACAGAAAAGTTTAAGAAATTGGGTGAAATTCTTTTAACTGATGAAGTTCTACCAACTTCTGAGAAATTTTGTCGTATAACAAAGAAATCTATTATATTTTGCACAATTATTCTGGCTGCTAATTTCACTTACTGCTTGAATAATGGCACAAAACCCCATATAAACTAATCAGTGGTTGTTTTTTTTTCACCTGGAAGAGTGATACGTATGTGGATACTCATGCGGACAAGTAATTGAAGCAGTTCTTGTGCAATCTCACTTGCAATACCTTACTTGCTCTATCTCTATGCTGAAGAAACACATTACAGACTATAAAATCACATTCCCATGTTGGCTGTTAATAAGAAATGATAGAAGTTAAGAAATCAGATGATTAATATGGCTCCTCATAAGATCACATGTTGATAAGGAAAAGTCAAAAGTGATATGGAAAAATACGAATCTTCAATCATGCTGCATATTAAAATATTACTTTTCATTCAAAATTTTTTAGAAGTGAAGCCATAGAGAAAATTATGTCAGGATGCATCTCCTTTTGTGATAAACAGCAGCAAATATGCTTCTGTGTCCCAGATAAGAGAATTACCTTGAAGAAAAGGAAAATGTTTTGATTTATGGTTATTCTAAAGTTAATTAAGTAGCCCAGTGAAGAACAACATACCTCTTTATCCTGAATATTTGGATCTGCATTGTTTTCCAGTAACACTACCATGCAGTTAATGTAACCTCCATAAGCAGCACACTGCAAAGGTGTTCTACCTGCATAATCCTGTACATTAGGGTTGATTTTATTTTCTATCAAGATTTGGCACACGTCAGCATTTCCTCCCAGGGCTGCCCAGTGAAGGGGTGAATGGCCATCTTGGTCAACCAAATCTACTCTTGCTCCTCCTGTAACAACAAATACATTTTTGAAACCAGAATTTTTTAACATAAAAATAAAATACTTTTGAATGCAAAGAAAAGAAAAGAATAAGATTATGTTCAACCAGAACTTATTTGGTAAACTGACAATTCAGAGAAATATTTCTGAAAGTAACTTCAACTTTGTTACTCAAATCCTAAAACCTAAATCAAAATTAATTGGGAATGAAATAGTTTCAGTGAGGGTCAGGCATCTGATTTTTTTACAAGCTTCTGAGTATCTTCTCAGATGCTTCAGAATCTCCAGATTTGTCAAATGCCCTTGGAAAACCTAGCCTTTATTTGTTTCAGGCCTATTAATTTTCAGTGGAACTTTTATTTCTTAACAACAAAATCACTTTTGAAAATTAGACTTCAGATGAAAACACTTTTTAAATCTCTAAAGCAGACAAGATAAAACATTCACAGTGTAAGAATGACTTTTGAAAACAGCTTGATTTTTTTTTCATTTGAGCATGCTAAGACTCTTTTATGCAGATAATTAATTTCAATATGTGTTCTTGTAAGATGTAAAAAGTCCGTACAAAAATGAAACTCCACAAATGTAAAAACCTGAACCAACCAGCAACAATGTCTGTCTATATCATAAAATATTTAATTAAACATAACTCAGATTCTGATTACCAAGCTTCTTGGTTACATCTAAAAAAGCTACATGGCATACAGGGTGGGACTAAGAGCTTAAGAGGAGGTTAAAATATGCCCAGCAGATCTCAATGGGAAGCGTGCTTTTTAGTAAGAAAGGTTGGTTGACAGAAATTTGCAACCTGGATACTTCAACTATCCATAAATAGGATAATGTCTCAAGTAGGAGGGAGACTGCTTCCAGCTACTTGGAACATTTCTGTGAAGCTAAAATGACAGAATTTTGCATCTAAGATACCACTGTTCTTCCATCATACTTCTTACACTTCAGCAGAGTTTTTACAATTATCTAAAACTGTGTACATTGTTAAATTTTATTTCTGTCTACAAATAAAATGTTTACTGCTTATAAAAACCAACCAGAGGAAAATATTAATGATTTAGGATTTTTTGTTATCTACCTTCATTAAAAAAATAAAGATTCATTTAAATAGCCAAAAAGTCTTTAAATAAGCCTAAAAATGCTTTCTCACAAAAAGAGAAGAAAGCTTAATTTGGTCTTATTTACTGGAGAAAAAAAAGAAAGAAAAATGACTTGCTGGGGGAAGAGGCGGTTTGAGAGACTAGAATGTACACTTTAAAAGGCTTGAGCAGAAAAGAGCCGTGAAAAGAACTATCCCAATTTTGAAAGTTTTATATTTGACACTTCTAGCCATTTTGCATAACATTCTGATAATCTTTTATATTTACTAGTGCTGCTCCACAAAGGGTACTTACAGACAAAACCTGCTTTAGGGAAGTAATTTTCTACCCCACCTCTTGCTCAGCTATGCTGTTTATTTCCCAGTCCCACAGAAAGAAGCACCAGAACTCTGAACAGGTTTGTAAACTCATAACAGCTGACCTTTAATAAGCGTCTGTATCACTTCTTTGTGTCCCATCTCGCAGGCTCGGAAAAGCGGGGTATGTTTCATGACATCCAAAGCATCTACCTGTGCATTGTGTTCCAGCAGCAATTTCACTGTGCTGACATGGCCAGAAAGGGCAGCAGCATGTAACGCTAAAAAAATAAAGTAATAGGAAAAAGAAATCACAATATAATGACCTTTGGAGGTTCATAATTAGAATGGTCAAAATAAAAATTAATTTCAACCATTTTGGTGGAAAAGGTGCTGAAGAATCATAACAAGTGATCACTAACCACATCTCCTTGCCATACAAGCAAAAAGCAGAAAAATAGCTCTGAAACATGTTTCTAACTTGTAGAAATAGGAATTTTAACATTAACACCACCAAGATTGGCTTATATTGAGGATTTGTGGATGGTTAGCAGCTTCTGATTAATAGAACATAACACAATCTATTACTGCCTCTGTTTTGTGGCATTTCTTACATCACCCCAGTGGAGATGAAACTGCCTATTGCCAGTGAAAGAAAGCTTTCATTATTTCTTTAATGTTTTCCTGAAAATATCTTTTTTATTTCTTTCAAATAAGCAAAGCTGTCTCAACTAAAACAAACTCCAGATAACTACCTAGCTGTTCCCACCCCTTTATTTTTTACAGAATTACTTGGAGAAGATTTTACACAAAATTATGTAGCAAGGCTATCACATCTCGCACAGTATCTGCAGCTCCCTGTTTTCTTCAGGAAAAAGAAAAAGATGATGGAAAGACCAGATACTGCATTTTCTCTCATCCCTACAATTTATGAAGTTCAGTTGTATGAACACTATGCAAGTTGATTCTGCAGACTCCTACTCTTCCACAGTTTTCTTTGCCCTTTCATATTTGAACGTATGCAGATTTCACTGAGTCCAAACCAACAAATAACACAGAGCTACGTTAGGTACTTTAGACCTCAGAGGTAAAGACATGGTGTGCTATAACTGAAGTTGCTATCACCTAACACAGCATCCTGTGGGCACTCTCAGCTGGAGTTGAGGAAAGTGTTGAAATGCCAGTCCAACCAGTTCACAGTTCTTTTTGAAGGAAAGGAGAACTACACACAGCAATGAAATTTCAAACCAATGGAAGACACATATACTGGTGATTTCACTTACAATTTGATTTCAAAATGCTGTGGATTATTTTCTATAGTCAGGAATCGAATCAGATAATCTACATTCTCATACTGCCTTACATGTAGAATATTTCACAGATGACAAAATCAAAATAATTTAGAATGAAAATACAAAACAGTGCAATTAATAAACGTGCATTTAGTAAAGTGAATTCAGATTTCCCCATGGAATTTCACAAATATTCATCCTTGGTGAGAATTCAGCCTGCTCAAGCAAGCGAAATGGGGGGCTGAAACAGTACCTAGATGTCTCTACTTGTTTAATGTTAAAAAAGGCAGGGTCAGGATCCAGCAGAGGCATGATACAGAAAGGCACACCACGAAGGCCAACATTAGAAGGAATTGCTTCTTGAACCATAGCCAGAATATCAAAACAGTCAGGCTTTTTTTATTTGCCTGCTACTGTTTACCACTGGTACCTGCTTCACACAGCTTATGAAGCAGTAACCCAGCATAACCTGTTACACAGGCACTACTAAAATGCACAGGTTGTTCATACTGTTTGTGAATCAAATGCAGCCTTAAAACACACAGCCTCTAAATTAGTGATAGTAACTGGAATTGTGACACAGACAAATGAGACACTTCCTACAAGAACTGGGGTCACAGCCAGAGACAGTATGAGAAGTGCTGCCTTAGTAATTGAAATCATGCCTTTAAGATGACACTGGTGTTTAACTGTTGCAGCTAAAAAGCACAGGGGCACCCATGAAAAATATCTGTAAGCAGCAAGATCTGCAGTAGCTATGCGAGTGGGTGGCTATCAGTAGAAATTTGACAAGAATGAGATCCCTACTGCTTCGAACATTTGGATGGGCCTGGGTTTCATGGTCTGACCTCACAGTAAACTCGAGGTTCTGGTTTTTGTACTGCATTTCTTATGAAACCAAAGGCAGTAAACCACTCCATCAGATGACACATGGGGTGTGTATAACAATACAATAGAAAAAGAGCTGCTGTGTCAGCTTGGCCGGTTCTTCCCCCCTATCACTCATTCTGACGCAGGCATCTTGTTTCGCACTTTGTGCTCAATATTTTCTTGTAAGCCAAATTTTCTGTGATGGAGTCACGGTGACTGAAGAGATTCCTCAGCCAGCTGGTCACAATGGGCCCTTTGTTCAGCCGACAGACAGAGCCCTCTCCATTGTACGCGGTGACGGCAGAGCTATAAAGCTGCCCCTGTAATGCTCCTGCAGCGCTGATCTCGGAGAAGAGGGAAATTCCTTTCCCTTGGTGTCATTCTCCTACACAATACGGAGAGTCTCGATGTTCTAGCAAAGCTGAATGGAGAGCTTGCTCTTTTTAAGTAAATGCAAAAGGCTGCGTTAATGCAACATTATAACTAGGCTTAACTGAGTCGGCACACAAAAGTCATAAAAACACAACCTTGAACTCTCCTCAGCAACTGTATCCCAGGCATGGTGGCATGTATGCTATTTTCTATTAGTGCATAGATTCCGGTCAGAATACGACGCTACTTTTCCCTCACCAAAACTTGGGAACGATTAAGAACCGTCGGAAAAAACCCCAGGTCTGAAATCAGAGAGTGATTTACTGGTGGGCTTCCTTTTAAGTTTACAGCTCACTATAATAAAGCCCATGCTACTGCACATGCTTGCACAATGGTAAAGTTCAGATTGCTCGACAGCAAGCGACGAACGGCATAGTTCCCCACTTTAAGACTATTAGTGTGTTCTACACAACGGCAGTTTCAAGTAAATGGAAAATCCATTCATTTCCTTGCATTAAAAGCCCTACAACAAAATCAAGATTAAAAGGTGATTACACATCACTGCTATGAAAGGTTTAAGACTGAAAGATAATAAACTCAACCACCTGAATTATCCAAGCATGAAATCCACACCTGAGTAATTTCAGAAACACAGTATGTGATTACTGTCTGCAAAGAAGAAAACCCTTTGTAAGGAGGTTTGCACAGCAACTACAACATTACTGCACCTTAAGGTCTGAAACAAATACTGTAAGGTATTTAAAAGGGAACTGTCAGGAAGGAGCAAATATAGGTGAGACTGATAAAAGATGAAACAAGACTAGAACTGTAGAATATGTAGTTTATAAAGTCATCAAATTTGAAGACTGAGATTTTATTTGTTGCAATATTTCTTAAAGTAAAAAATTAAAAACTATCATAACTTGGAAATACTGATTTTTTGGTGCGTTCATTTGTAAGGAAAGCGAGAATTTAGATATTTAAATAGAACTTTATGTTAACTGCATTTGTTTTTTTGTGTAAAGACCCACCATACCACCAATTTCAATTTTTTTTGTACAAAAGTAATATTCATACATGCTATCTTTCAAATCCTGAACCATGCAACCCTGACATTGTATTTATTTACCATTTGTATGTTATTCAAAGTGTGATCTCAAAAGAGGAAAACTGTGAAACTTGTATCTTTGTTTCTTGGTTGGGATAGACCTACGCTGCAAGTTCCCTAAATCTAACCATGCAGCTTAGGCTAGTTTGTGTGCGTGTGGCCAAAAGATAATGCTTGAGTATGCTTTAAAGCAAATATATTAAAATTTATATAAACAAACATTGCAATATACATTCTTGTTTGTTTAAAATAACATAGTTTTCAGGAGAAATGCCCTCTACTGTATTATTCATGGGTGTGTGCTCAATCAGCATGGCTATCATTTTACTACTTATTATACATAGGTATACATTTTTGCACTTAACATCTACACTTGTGACCTGGCTGTGACTGGCATGGGGTAGCTCATGACCTCCTCCCACACAGCTTACCCCTGCAGTCCCCTGCTACCAAACCCCTCCAGTTTATGCCCAATATATCCACATTCTCCTCTTTTTTTATTCAGATGTCATCAGCACACTATGCAGCTCCACTACTTTTACCTGTATTTCCAACGCTATTGAATACATATACCCTTCAACACCTGTCTCTCTGTCAGAACTGTCATTCTATTTTTGTTGAAAGTACTACATAGGTACAATACTTCTACCACAAATTCTTTTAATTTTTCATTAAAGGAGATGAATTCATAGTTGCTACAGGAAATTTTGAATTTCATGACTTGCATGCTTGAATTCTGAAACACCGTATTGCATACCTAGCTTGCTTTGGGCAGATAATGGGATGATAAACTTGGGGGACATCAAGTTTAACCTCTTGTTTAGACAAGAGAAGTGTAATAACTCTAATCTTTATTACACTATCTTTACAAGTAACTATGGTACTTATGATTTCCATGACGATAATTTGGCCATTTCACTGGTTAGTTTGCTCTATACTGTTTCAAAGTATTTATTTACTGACAATTTTTTTTAACAGGCATCTTCAGGGAGGGCTTTTTATGCAATTATATTTCATTTTATTCTTCAAAATACAGAACAGCTCTTCCTTTCCCAGGATTACATATCTAACCAAATAGCAGCATAGCACTACATTGCTGCTTCTTGCTATGTTTTAAATGAACTGGTTCAATCTACACAGAAAAGATTTGTTTCTTTCCCACAATAAGGCAAAGAAGTGACTCACACACACATAATTAAACTAATGCAAAAATACTTTCAGGATTAAGGTATGCATCCAGGAAAAGACTAATATAGCTTCTAACAATCTTTTTTATTTGGTGGAAATCACAGTAACTGGAAACATCCAGTTGCTCTTTACTGTAAAGTGTCTTACCTGTGCCAGCATATTTGTCTGTCATATTGATATCGATATCCAATTTTAAAGTCAGCATAGTCCTAATGACATCATCACTGCCTTTGCCAGCTGCCCACATGAAGGATGTTCTTCCCTCAAGATCTGAGTCATCCTTTACGGAAGGATGTTTCAAAAATACTTCAACTGTTTCCTGAAAAGACATATTATTGAAATTAACATTAAAAGGAATCTGTAACAACAAGAAACTATTGTGTCTCATTTAGCTGTTTATGAAGCAAATCAAAGCTTCATTTTTCTTTTTTATGTTTATATAGAGTAATAGCTCAACAGGAGCACTGTACTTTCTGCTATACCCTTTTCCTCGTCAGTGTTCATAGTACATCCTTAACTATGAGTTTAACACTGTCATTTATTTCATATGTCTTTCTTTTTAGTGTCAAACATCATGTGTTCGTCATAAGGAAGTAAAAGGCACTGCAGTCACTGTGAAGAAAGCAATGGGAAAAATATTATCAGCTTATCAAAACTTTACTGTAATAAACTGATGCTAAAAAAAATGTTCCTTCAAAATATTCTGACTTTTTTTTTTTTTTACTCCAATTCTAAATATGACTGCACATGCAAATATTTTAGTTTGCCAAACTCTAATAATTTGACTATTCAAAAAAAACCCCCAAAACCAACCCAGGACTTTTGGGGCAACATAGACATATTTCCTATTATTTAATAATATCAACAGGTTACTAACTATTGAAATATTATAAATAAAAAAAGATTAAGGAAATCCTTATACCTGAGTCCAGGCTTTCCGCTGTAAGTCTTACACTAAAATCTCTATTTAAATCAAAGCAAAAAGAATTATTTCTTCAAATGCTGTGTTTGTGTTAAGCTCTCAGCAAACCAGTCCACTTGTTTAACCTGCTGCTAAATTCTTAATAAGCCACACATGAAAGGAAGGGAGAGGAAATCACGACTGCTAGAAAAAGAATTAGGGGAAGAATTTCCTTTTTCTATCTAATGCCTTACAAAGGCTGTGTATTTAACAGCTGGTAAAATCTCTTAAGAGCCACTGATAGGCTAGCCAATACAAACTGAAAAAAAAGTGGGTTTCATTATTTTCTTTTATTTTTGTATTTGTATTAACACTATTTTATCTTTTCCTCCATGTGACCCCAAAATAGCTCTATTGCTGCTCTGGGTAGGATGAGAATTCCTTGGCTATAAGGAATCAAATGCTTATAATCACAAAAGTGTTTAAATGCCTATGTCCTATTGACTAGTTTGGATTTTTTTTAACTACTACTTATTATGTCATCCCTCTAAAGAAATAGGAAATTTCTCGTTTGGCTTATATTAATGTGATCTAAGGTCCTAACTGCTCTGTGAATTTGGGTCCATATCTGAACTATCAGTTTATTGTAAAGGTCCAACCAGAAGTAATGAGGAATGGAAGCAGTAAGCCTTCCACACAAACCAGCAAGTGTTTATAGCTTTGTGTACTCACACTGACCACCACTACACCTCAGACACAAACAGCTACTCATTAGGCCAGCAACTCGGCACCCTACCTCTGCACTGCTTGAAATCCTGCAAAGTGAAAAGCAGTATGAAGGCTGGACCTTTGCAATACTAAGGCACACATCCTACAAGCATAAATAAGTAATTTTATTTTTCCATTAAGTTTTAGGAAAGCAATGTTTCTTTCAACCACTCCTTTTTTTAGTTTTTAATGGGAAAAAGAGGAAGAAAATCCTATAGTGCTATAAGAGTTGTTTTCCAAAATGAAGTTATCACAACTTGAAAACAAAATGAAATTAAATTAGAACAGGATGGTTAAGAAATTGGAAAACAGAAGTATCGATCAGTTTAATTCTACATGTATTTTGTCATGAAAAATCACATGTATTTTATCTCTATTAAAAAAGTGGAGAAAACAAAATAAAAAACAACAAAGCTGAAAAACAACAGTAGAGAAGTAAACCTGGATAATTTTAATCTGTGCCACCAAGAAACTCTGAAAAATACTCAATATTATTTTTTAATATTCAAAAATAAGACCAGGCTATTCACATTTCATTTACTAGATCAATCTATACAAATATGTGAAAGGGAAGTATGTTGTCTTGGACATCTCTGGAAAAATTCAGAAAAAATTAATATATATATAGTCCTGCATTCTGCATACTAAAATCAATACTAATAGAGCATCTTTCTTCACACATGAAGTTCAAAAATTTAAAAAGGATGTGTATTTGGACCTTCTGCAGGATACATAAGCCATCTAAATTTCAGGAAACCTATTTGGGTAGTTATATTAGGTAACTTCAGTTCTTCTAGAACTTTTCCTTCTATAATAAGTGGGGATAAGTTAGTCTTAGAGAACAAATTCTTCATTGAAGAGACAGCTAAGTCTCTTCAGTCATTAAAACCCAAAAATGTTATATTAGAGTAGGTAGCCTGCAGAAAAACAGAGCAAAGAACAAGGTATCGAGTTAAGTAAAACTGAAAGCAACTCAAATATTTATAATAAATACAAAAGAACAAACTTTCTTCTTCTTGTTAGGGACCAAGAAACATCGCGTTTTAACTGAGAAACATACCATGCCTATCCAAACTTGGGCAGACTGTACAGAACAACAACGCAGCTCTCAAGCCATAATGTATAGATGCTAGTGCCAAAACAAACATGGATGTGTCTCCACTCAGTTGTTTGACTATGTATATGGAATACAGTCGTGGGAATTACTCAAGGATTTGTGTTTAACTGAGAAAAAAAGCAAATAGTGGTGCTCAGAAACAACCAGAGTGGTAAAAAAAGAGAGAAGCTCCAGACATAATTTAGGCATGCATAAACAGGAGCTCTTGGATACATCACCAGCTAAAAGAGGCTTGCAGATCTGAATGAGAGTCTCCTGTCTGATTCTTCATGCAAGATGGGAAACAGTACATTCATTGTAAGTACACAAGATTACAAAAGAATGTCTGATTCCATCACCTACTCTATTTCCTCATAAAAACCTAAATGGTATCATAGTTTGGCTGGCTGGTGGGATCAAAAGGCAGCAATATAATGAAGATATTTCATACAACTGAATCAAGCCCAGAGAAAAAAAGCCAGCATGAAAAAATCATTTTTTAGGAATGTATCAATATAGAAAAAAAAAAAGATAAAAGCATGTGGACATAATCACCAGACTGTAAATAAAAACATTCTATCTTTCCCACGAGTCTGACTCAAACTAGAAAGAAAGGCTTTTACAACATAAATATTTTAGACATGTGAGTCAAACCCAAACTGTACATACCACTTAATGAACAATAATCAGCATCAATAAAAAATTCTCTAAAAAGGTGTAAATTATACACAGAGATATGCTCCACTGAAAATCTGAATTTAAAAAATATCAGTATGGTCTTACTAAGACCACATCCAAAAAACCCCACCAAAACCCCAAAACTCACTTTCACAAGGAAACAGAAGGTGACAGCTGTGGTATTAATACACATTGGTCAGTTCCCTCTTTCAATAGTATTTCTGGATTTGTTAACTTGAATGGTTCTCAAGGGCATTAAAATTTTACTTGTTTTATGAAAATAAACATGTAGGTAGGCAAAAAATACCAAAATTAGTATCCCTGTTAAGAAAATGCTGCAATATGCTCTACATAACTACATTAATTAGGCACTAAATAACCCTTCTTGTAAAGGGAGGTTATGAATAATATAACTGAAGAAAACTTAGATAGGAGCTCTCAGCTTACTATGCATGGCATAATTCAACTATGAACAGACAGAGCAGCATGAAAAAAGCCTTCCTAAGTTCCAGTGCTTGAGAACTACTTCTGTACTAACATCTATGACCAGCAATCATTAAACTGCTGAGTTTTATTCTTAGCTCTACCGTACCGGATCTCGCTCTGGAAAAAAATTACCTATTCCACCAAAATATAAGAATTAGGCTGTCTGAGAAACCAGTTTTCTTTGCTGACTGAAGTTAAAAAATATTTTTTAAATATTAAAAACTTTAAAAAACTTCTTAAAATATAGTGTTCATGAGGAATTGTGACAAAAGGTACTCGCTCTTTAGCCATGCTTTATGAGACAACAGCTCATTCATAATAGCAAATATTCATAAGTTAATCACTTTCTTGAAGGCAAAGACTGGTTTGACTGGTACTGAAGCAGCTGTGCAAATACTCATACAGGTGATCTTACTCTAGATACCTTATAACTGTTTAGATTTTGCTACAATGAGCCTTAAAAAGTAAAAGCACTGTAAAATAGTAGGTGCCGTTCTGCTTTCTATTGAAGTACCTCAATGACTATTGTGTTTTCTGATGCAAACATATAGATCAAAGGGCCTTTTTTGTACAGCAATGTAGTTTTTCAAAATTTATTTTTAATCATTTGAAATTAACCACATTTATATCACATAACATAGGAAAACTCTCAATTAAGCTTGTGCAGACAACACTGTTTATATGATTTTAAAAACAACTCAAACACTTTGTTACACTATAAATATTTCAGCAAAATACGTTTACTTCACATATAGGGTACGTGCTACTTACAGCAAAGTTGCTCTGCGCTGCATAATGTAGGGGTGTTGCACCTTGACTATCAGATGGGATAGTTCCAAACTTATTTCTTTCTAATAAGAGATGGACAATCTGTGCATGACCTGAGAAAAATAATATAATAAAACCAGATATGCATTGAATCCTGAAGTTAAACACTTTCCTATTAAAAAAACCAAACTAAAACAAAACAAAAAAACAAAAAAACAGAAGAAAATGAATGGACTTCAATAAATAATAGTATGTTTGTGTTGTATCCATTACAGTCTAAACATAGGCGAGAAACACAAGACTTGGTATTTGAACTATTAAGCCTGGCATGCACTTTCTTCCCAATAGTGTTCCAGTTCCACGCTCTGTATCCTCATTTTTGAGAGGCATCTGTAAATCAGAATGACCTATGAGTAGGGACATGTAGAAAGATTTTCTATTTCTTTTAAAAGAAATCACTAGAGCATTTCCCTAAACAAAGAAACCAGCAGTAGCTGGTCAGACAACTGCACTATTAACATTGCAATGAATGAGTTGAATATTTCCAGAAAAAGCTTCTGATCATCCAGCTGAGATGCTGCATTTAAGTAAGAGGTCAGTCAGAAGCAGTGAAGTGAGCAGAGACTGATGATGATGAGCATTTGTCCACCTACATTAAAAGGTAGGCTAAACAAACATTGACAATTTCATCCTACATCACATTGTTTTACAGAAATTAAGTGTTAATTCTTTACTTAGGTTTTATTCAATCAAAATTTCAGCTGAAGATGTACAGCAGAATCTGGAGGCTAGTCTACTACCAGCTGCCATATCTGCAATAAACAACAAACTGACACACACAACTCCTTCCAACAAAACAGATTAGAATGTTTTTAGATTTTTGGGGGGATGGTAAACTTCATATCCACTTCTCATACAGGAAAACAAAGACAAAATATAGTATATTGCCACTAAAGTCAACTGATCCTTTCATATGCTTTCTTTTGTAGGCATATGTGGCTCACAGAATATCTTGATGATTTGGTATTTTAAGAGATACTATAAGGCATAAATCACTCTGATTTTACAGGAGAAATGTTCCAGTATCTTGCATGTGAAGAAAACAATCAATTTTGCAGCTTGTTACTTTTGCACAGTTGACTTGAATTACTTCGGAATAAATGAAAAAAAGTAGGTAAACCATTCTAATAGCAGCAGGCTTTTTTTTAATGAAAACACCGACAATTACAGAATGAAGCTGTGTAACAGTTGTGGTCTGTAGCTTTTAAAAACCTACGAGATGGAGGACTAGGCAAGCCTTCTTTTGTGGAATGGCAATTTCAGACTTTATATGTATAGAAATATCACAAAAGAGAGAAAATGGTCAACTTGGGTCCAAAAGGATGAACAGCTACAAGGGGATTATTTTTTTTCTAGGGGCTTTAGGGTGTACAGGAAGGCTCCTCTTTCCTTTCAGCCATTAAGACAAGCCTGGACCCAGAACAAATCACAACATTCTGTCCCTCCCCTACCAGAAGAACACTAAAAATAAGAGATACAAAGTTGCTGTGCTCTTCCCATCTCAAGACTACAAGAAGTGAACTGAGGTGCACTGGAAGAAGTTGGTTCTGAGTGCAATCCTAGCAGGAAAAACATAGGAGTACTGAGCCTGGAGAAAAAGTTGCCTGAAGTTTCGGGACACACAACTAGAAAAAGGGAAACTGAACTGTCTGATCAGGACAGAAGGTCTACCTAAATTATCTATGAGAAAAAAGGCTTGAGGGAGTTGAAAAAAAAAAAATTGTATTGGGTGCAACAGTAAATAAATTGGTGCAAAGATGGATCTTGCTCGGACATTAATGTAAACAATAAAACTCAGTTCTTGAGGTCAAGAACTGTCATTTCTGTAGTACTTTTATTTAGAAGAGATGTAACTTGGCAGAGACTTTTATCTACACAAAAGAAAAGGTAACAGGAGCAACAAGGCCCTAAGATAGAGTCACATGCAACCTATCACCTTTAACAGAGTATTTGTGGCTGTATCCATGCTCCACCTAAAACCTCCTACTGTTAGCTCATTTATTTTAGACTCTTTGAGATCTATATACAGCATCCAGTAACTAACTTAAAAACAGAACCCTAAAAATTAATCATGATTTACCAATCAGAAGTTCCCCATGGGCGTATGCCACCTAGAGACCTCATCAAATTCACAAAGGACTCTGGAGGTCTTGGCATGTCTTCCCCCTTTATTCCACATTGATTAGACAATCCATTTTTCCAACAGACAAAACTTCTCTCTCAAATGCAATCAATTCCAAAACATGATAAATTTAGCTCCTTGGACAGAACCAAGTGATAATGACTATTTCTTTGTGAGACCAATCCTATGACACTTAAAGTGTTTCACAATTTCTCTGTAAAAATTCAATATCCCTACTAGAATGCAAATGCAAATCTGAGAACACTTTTTTTTTTTCCCTTAAATAAACATAATCAAGCTACATGTATATTGTCACTGGAGGTGCAGTAAATCGCTCCAGTGAGCAATCTGATTCTTTTATTGGCATTCTTTGTCTGCAGCGTCCCAAAGGGTCTTAGGGATGAAGCCTGTTAAAAGGGGAGAGAGAGCGTTTGAAGATTCTTTCTTTTTATCTGGCACATGGTGTTCATTTTTCCCTCTTGCACATTGGAGAATTGAAAATCGGAGGTCAATTTTCTAAATCATATTACTTTTGTGCCTGTCATTTTATGAGTTGTGTTTCCCTCTATTTAGACTATTTATATTTAATCAGGTTTTTACCTTTTTTTGCAAAGATTCCATTTTGTAACCTGTAAAACCAAACTGTGCAGAATTCACATATGCAAGGTTACAATTGACAGGGCATCTGAGTCTCAGGGTAGCAATCTGAACAGAAAAAAACTTTATCTGAATAAAACTTCTTGTCAGATCTGATTAAGACTGTCATAATGTGTCTGATGAAGAGCTTGTACTAAGAGTAGAAGTGTCAGCTCTGCCATTTTCTTGTTGTTCACTTGTGCTGGTATTATCAGATTACCTGCAGTTTCTTTGCGGGAATCTTTTTAAGTCACTTGTCTATTTTGTGAGAAGTAGTTTAGTAAAAACTAGATAATATAATCCATAAATCCATTTAACTGGGCACAAGTAAACTGCAATACATCACAATAATCTGAAAGTGAACAAATGAGTGATGATGCCACTGTCAACCCCTCCGCGTTGTGGAGCACTCACTTCCCTCAGGCACCCTGCAAACCCTATGTGACCATCTTGCATATGGACCAAGTGAGGGTGCTAGCATCAATCCATATATTAAATATTAGTGAAGTTTTCTTATTTTTTCAGGTAAAAAATAAACAGAAGGTCTGATATTTTCTTCATGCACCCCAATGGATTTTCTTGCATACACACTGGGGTGGGTACACCACACTTTGGACTCCACTGCTCTAGAGTACCAGGGAATTTTTTTAACCTATGAACAAAGCTACATATGCAAGAACACCTCAGTATGGTCTAATTGTTCTCAAATCATAAGCATATATAGCCTGCTGAAGTAATGCATTTTACAATGCTTTGGAGAATCTGAAGCTAAAAAAAAAACAGTCTACACACAACTTCTAATTCTGGTCTAGCACAAACTATTATTGTGCTAAGAGATTAGTTAGCATAATGCCAGGCTGGAATTAAATAAAAAACAGAGACAAAGATCAAACGCCACAGTCAATTAATTATTAAATGACTTCAGCATTGTCCAGTTTACCAAGTAAGGCTGCCCAGTGAAGGGGAGTTCGAAACAAGTTGTCATAAGATGTCACATTGCAGCCTTCGTAGGAGGTCAGGACATCAACAACTGCTACATTCCCATCAGCAACAGCAAAATGAAGGGGAGTTCGTCCTTCATAGTCTTGCCAGTTAAGCAGAGATTCTGTAGGTGCAGCTTCCTTTTAAAAAAAAAAAAAAAAAAATTAAGTTGAAGAGAAAATCTATATACTCTTTACAGATAGTATTTTTTTTTTCCTGAGTTTTATAAAAAGGAGATAAACTGTCCTTGCTCAGTAGAATATAGCTCTACAACCAAATACATTTGTTACAGTATAGGCTATTTTCAAGTATTTCTTATGGAACTTTTTATTATACTTACTTAACTATTGTACAAGACCTGATTTTTGGTACATACCCTGTATTTTTACCACTCTGTTGTGCAAGTGGCTCCTTACAGATCTTTAAAAGACTAACTCAGGCTCTTGTGAAAGTAACTAGATCTTCTTACTTGATTTTCTAAGTTGAACACAACATAGATACCTTCATATTTTTCTCCTAGGACACTCCCCTTTTTGCACAAGTTAATCTTATGGCTTTCATTATAATACTTTTCTAGCATTTTAAAACCACATGACTACCAGAATATTTCTAAAGGAGATGTCAAGGTCTCTAGCTGAGAGGACAGAAGTAAGTTAGAGAGTATTTCTAATAAATGCATCTACTTGTAATGGATTTAATTTTCAATTTAAAAAAACCAAAATCTTTTAAAGTATCGTGATCAGTCATCTGATCATATTAACATAGGCATTAATAGATATAACTTGACTTTTCATGACATCTTCTTAAGAAAAAAGCTAAACTACTTTCACATAAGGCCCCCAGCTATATAGTTTCATTTTATGATAATTTCCTCTCTCGTCAACTTTCTTCTAGACAGATTTCTCTTCATGATTTTCTTTCTCAGGCAAAAGAAAGAACAGATACAAACGAACATCATCTTAGCGCTGCAGAGATCTCCAAATGGCAAATATCATAAAGGCCCATGAAATACAAACTTTAAACTTCACTTTCCTGAAAAGAAGAGTATCTAAAGAAAATAGTAAACAATAAAACAAAAGAAACTTGGGATGCAGGAGACCAAACATCTAGAGCAGAAGCAGAATGTCAAAAAAAGAGCTTAAATAAGCTATAGGGAGTAAGTCTGCTGTTCTATCTCCAACAATTCAGAACAGTTCACTGAAGTCATGGGAACCCTGTGCAAAAGAAAAAAAGGAATGTAGTCCTGAGATTTCTAACTTCCAACACTAGAATGGATTTTAACCCACAATAACTGAGAAAAACAATCCTGAAAATATAGAGCCAAACTGTATCTTACAATATACTTATCAAGTATCTTACTTATGAAAGAGGAGGGAGAGATTGTGATCAGCGCAGCTTGTTAGCAGTTGAAGCAAATTCTTGACCCCTTTCTCTCTAAACTAATTGAATTTTTTTCTGTTGACTTCACTAGGTACACAAATAGGCCACAAAATCACTTGTATTTGCATTATTTGAAATGCAGTAACTATTACATAGATATCTAACATTGAGAATGATAAATCAAGAAGCAGAAAGTCAGGAAATTCCAGAGTTACGGTTTTATCCAAATATTAATTGACCAAGGTTGTATATTCTATATGTTCTATTTAATAGATAAAAAAATAAATACATTTAGAGTTATATTTAACCATATTTCCTAAGTGCAATCTGGCTAAATTAATACTGCAGTAAGTAACCTCACCTCTGCAATGCCCCGATTCTTTGTTTCTTACTGTTTTACTTTCCAACAGTGTCAACTTAAACCTCCTAATATTTGATTAATGTAAGTTTTCTGAAGTTAAACATTTATGTACTTTGCATACTATATGTAAATGCTAATTAAGTTGCCTGTCTCACATATAAAAAACCTGCATTGGTTTTAGATACCAGTAGTGTTAGCCATGTTTTGCTACAGAAAAAAATTAACATACTTGAAACATACCATAGTTCATTACTGTATCTAGCCACTAGTACAATAACAGATAATCTATTAAAAACATAACAAATTGATAAATATGAATCTCTTAACTAAAAATACAAAGTTAACATTGTTACACACACAAACCACAATAATCAAAGCATGAATAACACTTCTTTTAATAAGCATTCAAAAGCATTTATCTGAGCCGTTACAGTGAAAAAGTGAAGTTTTATGTTCTTCCCTAGCTTTAATAATTTTCAAGAGAAAGCTAACTGATACTATGCTTACTTTCTGTCTATTCAAAGAGCTCAGCAGGGGGAGTATAGAGGCCACTGCAAAAATTCAGAAGTGATCTTTATGAGAATCACTTTTAAGAATGACTAAAAATGAATGATGATATGCACAGAGGTTATTACTGAAATTCTAACTCCACCAGGGGAAAACCTGTTTGAACAAAATGGACAAACAGGAAAACAAATGCTTCTTCACTTTACCTATAATTTACTGATATAATCTGGAGAGCTAATTTTCAAGCCTTCTAAAAGCACAAAACATACTATATAAATAACTCCTAAAAATCCTGGCTCAAAGTCACTGATGTTCTCCGGAATATATCCCCATAATCAAAAGTATTACTTTTGCAAAACGGTAAAGAATCTTTTAATGACAAAGCCACTATTTATATTCTTGTCTGAAACTACTCATGTGTTTTGAAATTTTTGGCCACAAACTAAAATTTTCTAGGCCTTTTTCTGAGTACATTCAAGAGTATAATTTCTTTGGATTTTAAGTGGTTTTGGTGTACAATTAGCTATAATTAAACTGTCATACTACATTAATACTTTAAGCACAATACACAGAAGAAACAGAAGCTACACATTTTTCTGCAGCAATTAGAACAATGGAATTGTAGGCAATAATGGAAAGTGTTGTATAAATAAGTGTCATGTCTCTTACCATGAAGGATAAATAAAGAGAAGAGATACAAAATAGACAGAGAGTACTAAGCAGTTGCTTCCATCATATTAATGGAACCTTATTCTGTTCTTTTCTCCTTAAATCTTCCCAACGTTTTTCATGTAACCAAGCACTGCTGAATCTGGAAAGGTGGAAAAGGAAGTTGACCATGAGAGCATCTCCAGATTAGAGTTTCTCTCTATTGCACACGTTTACTTTCTAAATATGTCATGAGTTCCATTTTTGCTGTATGTCATGGATTTCAATATTAGATATAACCAATTTGTGCATAACTGTGACCCCTGCAAAGCCAACCTACTTCTTCAGCATTCAGTTGAGCTCTTTTTGTTATTGTTTATTTCGACAATCTCAATGAGCTTAGTACTATACAAACATCAAGCAGAAAGATGACCCTTAATTTTATGAATTTATAAACAGGAGACAACAAATGGACACATCCAGATGGCAAAGCACAGAAAAATAAGACAGTATTTTTCAGTAGCATAGACTGTGGTCTTAATAAAACCAGCAGCTTAACTTTTGTCAAGTTTTTGTAAAGCAGCACTGGAGAATTCTGAGTAGGACACTGGAGAAAAATAATTTTCTGGGGAATTCTTCCACAGCATTAAAGATAACATGTGAGAAACAACAGCAGTGTTGTTTTTCATAACTTAATCAGCAGGCAACAAAGGCTGCCAATGCAGATTGACCAGCAGTAGATATCATTATCTAACTGCTATCTGAGCAACGGCACATATCTTACAGCTTATAGCACTCTATCATGAAAGCAAAGATAAATGGTTTGTGTTGGATGTGATTAAAAAAAAATGGAGAGGCAACAGTGACACAGAGTCGTAGGCCTTCTGCACTGCTATCACTACAAGGCAATATTCTTGTAAACTTAGAAATGCAATTATGCAAGTTAAGACACTAGATGACTGAAATTTTAACTGTATGGGTATGTACATTAGAAATACCATGCAGAAAGTATGTGAAAAACTATAAAGTTGACAGGGATGTGAAGACCTAGAGAGGAATGAGAATAAAACGTGATGCTTGGGCAATAGATCTGTAACTGGGTAATATGGCAAAAAGCAGCTAAGAAAGGAGGGGAAGACTGTGAGCTCTGCTAGGTAGATATCTATCAAGGCAAGTAAGAAAAACACTTCAGTTTGGAGAGAAGACAAGATCTTACTAAAAGATTAAACTCAGAGACACCACCACCAACAAAAAATGGTATTTACACTCAACAACAGATTCAATCAACAGATTGATTACCTAGTAACCTAGTAACAATGTTTCTGTATCATCAACTTTTACAGCACCTTCCACAAATCCTTTTTTATTTGAACTTGTTATTATCTTACTCCATCAATAAGCATATATAGGTATAACTATTTGGAATATAAACAAATTAGTTGATGCATGAAAAAGCCTAGATGGAATCAAGAATACATTGTTTTAACTCTCAAGAGTGGAAAAAAAAAAAAAAAAAAGAACCAAAAAAACCTGGACATGATCATGATTCCGTATTACCTAAAGAGAATCTTTGAGAACACCTTCAGTAAGGAGACAGGTATTTTTGACCTTTTGTAGTGCATCTGGCTGGGATGGAAGTTAATTTTACTCACAGCAGCAGGTATGGTGCTAGGCTTTGTATCTGTGATTAGAACTGTTGATAACACACCCATGTTTTGCTATTATTGAATAGTGCTTGCACAGCATCAAGGATTTCTTTTTCATGCCCTGGCCCATCCTGCTCCCCTGCTCCCCCCAGTGACTGGGCTGGGGGTGGGCAGGAGACTGGGAGGGGACACAGCTGGGACAGCTGACCTGAACCGACCCAAGCAATATTCCATACCATATAACATCAAGTTCAGGGAAAGGAAGAGGCTGGGGAGATGCTCATGGCTACACCGTATGTCTTCTGAAGCAACAAGTAAGCATGCTGAAGCTCTTTTCCCATTTTTCTGGGAGTGGCTAACATCTGCCTGCTGATGGGAAGTAGTGAATAAATTCCATTTTTTTGCACACAGCTTTTGCTTTCCATACTAAACTATCACTATCTTCATCCACGAGTCCTCTTGCCTTCCTTCTATTTTCTCCCAGTCTCACAAGAGGGGAGTAAGCGAGTGGCTGTGCAGGTGTGAGGCTGTTGGCTGGGCCAACCCACCACAACTTTTAAGAACATTTACCTTGACTATCTAATGTTTGAAAAATTCTGTATTTGAATACAGCAATCCTTACCTACTTTTCAGCAAATTTCTTTCTCTAGTGTGGCAGAAAAGTAGATGGTATATACAAACTGAAACTTTGTGACAAGATTTTGTTTGCGACAAATTATTTCACAACTGAGTCCAAATTACAAGTATCTTGAATAAATAGAAGTAATACAGAAATAAAATCACATTAATTTAACACTGGAAACTTCTCAAAACCTATTTTTTTATAGCAAAAAAGAAAGTACCGGTAACTACAAGATTATCAATGTGATTTGGAGAAAAGCAAAGAAAATTTTTATATGCCACTCATAAGTTCTCAACTTGCAAGCTAATCAGGCAAACACATACAAGTCATTGTAGTTAGCTTACAATCAATATGTGTCTAGTTCTGAAAGACAAAGATATATATTGTTGCAATATAAGAGAAAAATTAAATTCAGACTTCTGTATCTTTCCATGTTAGTGAAGTTCAGAGATTTCCACCAAATAAAAAACAAGGTAAAAATCAAGCTGAGTACATGATTTCATTGTATGTATTATAATTGTCAGTGTAGAAAGTGAAACTGAAATACTGCAGAAGGAGAAAATATGCCATTAAGGAAAAATTATTAAATCTGTACACAAAAATATTCGGAAAGTCTCTCGATAGACTGATTGTGGGCTTACTGATAATTGATCAAATATTTCTCAGAATTCTGACTTGAAAGACCAAATTAATTAGACTTTTCAGTACAGTTAACTAGAAATGAACTTTCAAATCATGAAGAAAAGACACACAACAAAGAAATCAGTGTGCAAGATGCAACTGAGATGAGTAATATGACTGGCCATTTTAACTAGGAGAACTTGCAACCCCTTCCTCCCTCTCTTACCCCCCAAATGAACAGTTACACACATCAAACTAATTGAGAGAATATATGTAGTCCATGAGATAGAGCAAAGACATTTACCCATAGAACTCAGAAGAAAGCCCTTTCAAGAGAGCAAAAATATTTAAGATTATTTCTTACAAAATTCTGGATACTAGGAAAAGCAAATTATTTCATTCTCAAGGAGTCAGTGGACCAAAAGGAAAAATTTCAAGAGAATAAAAAATATTTCTATCAGAGTAAAGTAATAAATACAGAAAGTGTTATATATATAATAGACTTTCTTACCAGAATACATTTCACTGTATGAATTGCACTAGGATCCTTGTTGTTAGCTGCCCAGTGAAGTGGGATTTTTCCTTCAATATCAGGGATTCCAATATTTGAATCATGTTTTATGAGAAGTTTCACATGCTCTGGGTTATTGTAGTAGGCACTCCAATGCAATGCAGTTTGCTGGAACACAATATTCACAAGTTTTACAAACAAGTTGAAAAATGAATAGAAGATGAAAATTAAAGTTGGTTAGAATCTGAAATATGATTTAACTATATTTTCACAGAATGAAAGATATCACCTAGTCCAACTCCTCTGCCCAAAGCAGGGTCAACTAGAACAGCTTGATCAGGACAATGTCCAGTCATATTTTTAGTTATCTCCACAGATGGAGACTCCACAACCTCTCTGGACAACCTGTTCCAGTGTTTGACCTCCCTCACAGTAAAAAAATGTTTTCTCAGGTTTAAACAGGATTTATTATATTTCAGCTTGTGCCCATTGCCTCTTGTCTGTTCACTGGAGACCGTTCAGAAGAGTCTGGCTCCATCTTCTTTACTGCTTCCCATCAGCTGTTTATACACATTGGTAAAATCACCCCTGAACTGTGTCTTCTTCAGCCTAAACATGCACAGGTCTCAGCCTCTCCTTGATATCAGATGCTGCACTCTGTTAATCATCTTTGTGGCTCTCCACTGGGCTCGTTCCAGTATGTCTATGCCCTTACTGTACTGGAGAATCCAGAAGCAGACACAGCACTCCATTTCAGGTGCCACCGGTGCTGAGCAGAGAGGAGGGACCACAGGTAAAACCCACTTTAAACAATGGGTAAATGAGCAATCTTTTGTTACACTTCAGTAAAGAGGACTGACAGAAAATAGAGCACATGTACCTAGTGTGGGTGACAAGCCAAAATCAGTGGAAAACAGGCTTTAAACAAAACGGAACAAGAGGCCCATCAGCTTGAGTAAGAGTAGATACGCGCACGTCTTTGCTACTGAAGCCTGAATTAGGTCTAAGCTACACCATCTCACATGAGACCCAAGCTGAGAAGCCCTTATTCTTGGAATTGGAACATTAAGTATTTCTCGTAGGAGATTAATTGCTTCGTATGAGGATTTCTTGGACTATGGCAGGAGAATAGCCAACAGGGCAATGCCACTGGGTGCAGCAATTTCAGACCTGGAGAAAATACGTGAGCTTGGTATTAAACAATCATGTCCAAGTTGGAATGATCATCTGTAGCAGGCCTCAGCACCAGAGCTGCACTATAGAACAACTACAGCAATTAGTTTGGTCCCTCTTAAATTTGGAAATCTCTTAAAATAATACAAATTGATGGAGAACCGTATAACAAGATGACTCTCCACTAGAGGAAGATGGCACTGAATACTAACACTGGACTTGGATCCCTCTTGAGCAAAGGTTTTGACTTCCTGCACTGTCCTTGATCACTCAGAATTCCAAGGGTGAATATTACTGAATCTAATGCCCACCAACCCATGGCAGTCCAATAAAAGATCAAAAGGCAATCCATGCTCCTACCGCCAATTCCTGACTGCCAGTGGCTTTTTACAAGCATTATTGATGTTCATAAATTACACAAGCAAACCGATGTATATGGGTTTTTTAAACAGCAAAATGTTGGTATATTAACAAGTATTTTATTTATCAGACACATCTCTCCTAACTGCCAAGTAGCAGAGGGTTGTAAGATACAGAATGAATTCTATTCCCCATCTCTCTTCCCCCCTCACCCCTGCAAAATATTACATGGCACTTTGATTTGAAAACTGAGAGAAATAACTGCTGCGGAACATTTGTGTATAAGCCTATGATACCCTGAATTAACATCCTTGAACAGTGAGATAGAATGTATGAGTTCACTATCATATCCTTAATGTCTCTGTAAAGGAAGAAGGCAAAAATGAGCCTAATTTTTGTGTTTGTTGCTTTAAGCTGTTAGTTTAGTACCATGGTAACACAATATGATAGCACAATGTTTTTCTCTACTTGGTAGTTCACTGAAAAAGAGCTCATTCTAAGACATAACTAGAGGGGCTGTAAGGAAAGGTCTGATGACTGACACCACATACAGCTACATACAGCCTAGCACCATAAAGCATGTTCAAACCATCACAGCCTGTCGGGATTTGAACTGAAAAAACTTCTAGCAGTAGAAATTTGTAATAAGTTAACAAATGTTATTTCTTAAGTGGAGCTGACCAGTATCCCTAGAAACTGACAGTTACAATGAAAGCAAAAACTTTTGATTACCAGGAGGCCAATGTAGCCTTGGTTTACTGGCTTCTCTCACCTACAACCTGCTTTTCAGTCAGCTGCCTACATGGAAGTAGATGTAAAAGACAGTTGTTCTCTCCCATGTTCAGGAATTATATTTGACAATCTTGATGCACACAGTTGCAGTGAGGGAAATGGATAAACTATGTGCCCAACAGGGTCAAATGTGTTGGACTCTGTCCCTGAGACTGCCTTTCATCAACCTGAATTCCATCTTTGCTACTGTGACTACTCATGACACAAACTGGAATAAAAGTGCTCTACATTTTGTGGGAAATCTGGCAATGCTTTAATACTGCCTTGGAAATCTGCTAAACAACAGGCATGGTTCCTAAAAGGTTTTGGCTGGTTTCCATATACCTTTGTTAATTAATTAACATGGTCAGGAAGTCAGCATGACCTCTCCAGAATGACTGCTGTAATTATAGCCAGGGTTTCCATGATACATGTTAGAATATCCTGGAAGACAACAGCTGATTGCTAGGGCACAGGCTGGTTCAACTCCACTGGGGTGTCCCATGAGGGGACAGAAGATTCATTTGTTGAAAACTGGGCTTACAGCTGTCTTATCTTGCTTCCTAGATGATAAAAACAGGTAAGGATTTCAGAGTTCAAGCAATTGCATCACTAGAAAAGTCCAGTCCCCTTCTCTTACTATGTCTTTTGTGGTAGAATGAAAACCCACTACATGACATATGGAATAATTACTTCCACTAAGACTAGCCTTGCCAAGCTAGTACATTGGATATCAGCTGATCCAAATACACTTGATGAGGGCACTCACATTTGAATCAGTGGTAGATTAGTGCCTGGTGGGGAGAATTTTTGCACCAGTTCTAAGATCACTTACAAATTGTAAGAAAGAGACCTTTCTGCTGAATGCTTAAAAAGCCTCCATCATCAGTAGCAGTTCCAGTTATATTGAATAACATGCCTACCTTGCCAATGGTAGTTACGTCACTGTTTTTTGGTCTTCCTTTTGCCATCTACAATCACAGTGTCTCACTTTTTGTTACTATATGCTTACAGAAAAAATTTGGCTTAGGGAACATTCGTATCTCTGGGTTCTTTGAAAAAAGTCTCTTTCAGATTTCAGGATATACAAACTGCTCAAACACATGAAATTTAATCCCGATATCCCCAGTTTAACGGGTCCCCAATAATTACTAGAAATCTGTCTACTAAAGGCAATGTGATCATCTCCCAAACAGAACATGCATCAAGCATGCCAACAAGAGGAACGAGTCTGTTTTGTTCAAAACGTATGTGTAAACACAAGAAATCCTTTACCTAGAATGTCTGTCAGGACTGTGTGAAAGTCCTATGCCTCCTCATACCCTAATATTAATACTAATGGAGGCAACCATTTCACATCAGTTTTAAATAAAGCATTGCTAAACACTCAGACTTAAGAACCACACTAATCTGAGCACCTCAAAAAAATACAGTTACCATTTGCTAAATAACTATTCCTTCTTTGAAAATGCATTAGTGTGCTATTATTGTGGACTGACAGTACCTCTCTGTATGAAGAGTAATAGTAAACCAGTTGTTTTACAAACTGTATCACCTTCCTTCTAAGATCCATCATCTCTTCTGGCTGGTCCTTTTAATGATAGTCCTTTTTAACAAACGTCAGTAGATTATCTCCTGAGGCTCTCAGAAGTCAGTGTGCTTCTGAAGCAGGCTGATAATTTTACTGATGTGGTAGAGAATGACTTGACTTTCCAAATGGACACGAGACAACTCATGACAATATATGCACTATACGATATACCTGGAAAATCATCTGGAGATTTCCTGGCCTTTCAAGCAACTGTGGTCACTACAGATGCAGAAAATTAGTCTGAAGGACTATTCTAGGAAGGTAGTAATGCTTAAGCTCTGAAGATGTTAAGATTACATTTTCTCCTGAGGAAGTCTGCAGTTTCACAAAACAAATGTCAAAGTGACTAACTGGTGCTCTGCTTCAAATGAAAGTCTCATGCCAGAACATCAATGAACTTCATCACATCCCTCTCACTAAATGATAAACTCATGGAAGCAATAGTGCATGTGCATTGGTAGCAGACCTTCTGTTGCCATTTGGTCCATTTTATGACAATTATAATAACAACAACAACAATTTGATACTTTTTATTGTCTCTGTTAGAAAACCTTCTTGACAAATGGCATCCCATTCTATCCCAGGCCAAAAAGTCATGTATGACTACGAGACTCTAAAAATTGTCCATTTTTACTTACAAAGATACAGAAAAAAGGACAGTCGACCAGATAGATTCAGTATATGGATATTTTTACCCTTGGACCATCCTTGTGGATGGAAGTGAAGGAGTGGAAGTGAAAGAGTAAAGCTGAGCCAGGAAAAAAGGGGGGAGGGCTGGTGGGTTGAAGGTGTTCTAATTTTTGTCTCTGTGTCTCGTTATACAAAACTATTTTAATTGGCAACAAATGAAACTCATTTTCTTTAAGTTGAGCCTGTTTTGCCAGTGACAGTAACTGGTGATCAATCTTCCTGTCCTTATCTCAACCCATGAGCTTTTTCAACCTATTTTCTCCACCTGTCCTGTTGAAGAGGGGGACTGAGAAAGCAGCTGGGTGGCCATTTGGCTACTTGCCAAAGCTAACCCACCACCCATTTCTAAAAGGTAGCACCTATGGACAGCTATGTCAATATCATCACCATTTTAGTGGCCCCAGTGCAGAGCAAAATTGATCACCCAGTGTTAGGAAGGATGTCTGCCAACAGCAAACCTGTATTCAGCTCAGCACCAAAGGAATAATTTCCCCCCTTTTTTTTTTTTAACTCACCTTTGGTATTGACAAATACTTTGAAGGCCTTTTGCACAAAGTTTTCTAGTGACTCTTATCATTAAATTATTCTAAACGTACGGTTTTTCCAAGGAAGAAAAGCAAGATAAGCACGTGCTGTCCAGATTCTAACCAGGATCACAATGTTACAGAAAGACATAGACCTTAAAACCAATGGGGTTTGAATCCTCTATTATTCTATGTACTTTCAAAAAGAATGTCGATTAGCTCAGTGCAATGAACTTTTACATCATTATCATCAGGAAAATATTAATATTTCTAAAGGTGATCATTATAATACCAGTGTTAGCCACTATTCTGAAGACTCAAAAAGTTTGTTATGACTGAAATAATTTTTCACACACAACTGATGTGATACCAATTTCCAAAGCTGCTACAAATGTTGTCTTAAAATAAGTGGTATTTTTACCTTGTTTCTGTCCTGGGTATCCACTTCTCCAGGTGCCATATGTTTTAGCAACAAAGCTAAACATTTTGGGCTTTTGTGACGTGTTGTTAAATGTAATGGTGTCATATCCTCTAAGTCCTTCTGCATCCAGTTCCCTCTACGAGCCAGTAAAAGTTTCATGAAGCGGTAATTTCCCTGGGTAAAGAAAAATATCAGAAATTTACTCATTTATCAAACCAAATGATGATACTGTTTAGATATACTTACTTTAAGCTTTGGAAACATCTAATGAAGATTTTTTGTTAAAAAACATTAACTCTTGATTTTTAAGTCTGTTTTGCTACTTGGTATTAGATACATATCTTCCATTAGTGGAGTGTGTAAGACAGGGTTCAGTAATACTGAAAATTCTGCAATATTGCCAGTTTCTTGACAGTTTAACCTCAATGAATATCATGTAAAAACTGAAATAAGACCATGACATGCTGATTTCAGCAAGGCAGACAGTTATCAGATGACAAATAAAACTAAACATGAAGCAAGATCACAATTTTCAAAATGAAATTAAGAAAAATGATTCAGAGAGATAAAATGTACTCAACTGAATGAGTAACAAATATATGGAAAAGTGATTGTTTCTTACATTTTTAAATTGGGAACTATATATGAGTTTTGAACTACTGTATGCATGATAAATGGATGGGACAGCTAGCTTTGTAACACATTTCAAATACTTAACTCCAGACTTAATAGGTTTTCAAAAGAAATAATGTAGAAGTGCTCCTGTGACAAATAACTGAGGGTGGATCCCAAAAAAACCAATCTGGTTTTATTTTTCAAATCATTGAAGAAGCCAGTCAAAAAATAAAGATATAATCATGCAATCATGAAGAAGCTGCACTGATTTAAGGTATAGCCAGCCTTGACTTGCTACGGCCCCTTGCTTGGAGGTTATTTTCCATATAACAGAGATGCTACAGACGACATTTTGATGCTTCCACTTCACTGCAATACAAAGTCTATTGGGTTTTTCAAACCACCTTCAGCAGTTAAGTTTCAGTTGAAGAGCAGTAACAGCTGGACTGATAACTCATTAGAACAAAAAAATCCAGATCTAGCTTGTGTGATCATGTTTTAAACATCCCTATTCTTTCCCCACTCTAACTTTTAACCTTTCCTAAAGTGAAAAGAGTGTGCTGTCTCCCAATTTTGCTCACTGTCTCCCAATGTTTCCCAAAATATTGGTTTTTGCCAATTTCACATATTGACAGTTTAAGTAAAAGTATCAATTACCCATAAATATAATGAAAAGAGAAAGCTCAGAAGAGAAGAAAAATTGCACTAATTCCCCCTACTCAGAGAAAAGCTGCAGTATTTGATGAAGCTTTATTAGACAATGTACACAGGACAGGTGACACTCAAATCAATAGAAGTCATGTCTTTGGATTCTTCTGCTTATGGAACTACCTGCAAATTAACATATTTCAGTCTGCTACAATTCTTTTATAAATCCTGTATGTTAACTTAGTCCCTTTAGACTGTCTTTGGAAAAACAATGAAAAAAGGTAAGCATGTAGACAAGTGCAAGCAGTGCTAATGAATGGGGGCACCTCTGCATCATAAGGCTCAGAATTGCAAATCACTTCCTCAGCAGAATAGTAGGGTATAGATGGGCCAAAGGATTCCACAGGTCCCCACAGTATCCAGTGCCAGGGAATAAAAATATTCTTGTTTCCTTTTTCATAGCAGCCATAAACACTGGAAGGGCAGATTTTACATATATTACTGTTCTGCTCTTTGTCTAATAAACATAGAAGAGTTGAGCTTTATGTGGGCAGAATGGATTTCACCAAGTTCGCCTAAAATAAATGAATTTGATTTTTTTTCCCCCTACTACACTATTTTAAAATACAAAACAGGGAAAGCAAATCATGAATGAGCTCAGACAAAATAACCTCTTCCTGCTTCTACAGTTTATTACCATCGGTCCTTGCTCTTCAATGAAAGCCTACAAGAAAAGTCTGCCAAAAACCTTACCACAATCCTGCCTGAAAATGCAAACTTCTCTTGCCAGAGACAGCATGGCTACTGTACTCTTCAACAGCATTCACAGCAAGTCTTGACTGACTAATTCTCTTTCTTCTGCTGGGTGTCAGGGAAAGCATAACCCTAGGATTTTGCCCGTTTAATACACAGACATACATCAAGGCATGCACTGAAGTACAGAGGCAGAACAGCATAACGTCTACACAGCTACTAATCCACGCAGAACACCCTCAAATTCATGATAAATTTGGGAATGAGTTAGGAATGAGAAATCTCCTCATTATTGCCATTATATTTTATGGGTAAATATAAGAAGAATTTGCAAAACTCATTAAAAAAAGAAAAAAAAACTAGCAAAAAATCGCAATGTATCATGATGTAGTTGGGAATTAGACTGGGGGAAGGCAACATTAAATAACTTGAGAGAATATTAGTCTTGGAAGAAATATAGCTGCTTTTCTCCATCACAGAGGATAATGCATTTGGTTTGTTTTCAGTGTATCCCGCTCAATGTGCATGCATACACATGAAAAAAAAAAATTGATTTTCTCTTGTTGATGGATACTTATTGGAAGATTTACAAGTATATTGTGCTTTTTGAATGAATTCAGCTGAAGAGTCAAAGTTAAAATAATACATAAAACTAAGGAAACATGCATTTTTATTATTAGAGTTCCTTTCCCTATACTGTATTTTATTTTTACTGTTAGACATTTTTCCACCAGTTAGTACTATATTATTCTGTTACATGCTTAGCAACCAACAAATCCCTCTCCTTAGGAAATGAATCTGTAATAAATCCCCTCATTCTGAAACAAAAAAGATTCTGTTTCTTCCAAATGATTTAAGATTTTTTTTAAAACACCACCACAGAAAACACCTGTATGTACACTACTTATTTGTAATGATCTTATTCATGCTCTTACTCCTGACTGCTGTTCTTTAGTAATACCATGAATGTTACTGTGTTCCTTTCACTTGTTAGAAAATAACACCATCCCTATGAATGGCAAAGGAAAAATTACCCACCTCCAATTGATTACTGCTAAGTTTGTAAATATGCAATGTATCAACATGTCTTGAAGGCAGATCTAATTTAGGTCTTACTAGGTGGAGGGGGAAAAAAGTATGCTTAATCTGAAAAGCAGTTACTAGCCGAATTCCTTCATTTTTATAAAATTCTTGTGTATAACAAGTCTTTAAGCTTGCTAGTTTTTACACATAGAAGATGCACTTGGTTGGCCTAAAGATTCCTGGGCAGCATGAAGCGCTTTGGGTCACTCCATGGTCTCTTAACATTGATAATGTCTCTGAAATGATTCTGTTATACTGTGAAAACATTATGAGCAAACACTATTAAATAATGGTACAGAAAACTGAGTTCCTGGTAGCCAAAATTTACTATTCCAATGCGGATTCTTAAAATTCCTTTATATTCTATTAAAATTATTTTTAAGCAAAAACCTCAACTCTGTATGCAAACTATAGCACCATTTCAGAGAACAGCTGACAACTAATCATAATCAGAAGAAATACTTCTGCTATTTCAGAATTTCAGCCACATACCCTAACTGCAATGGAGTATAATACATTTTTTGGTAGCCAGATAGTTCAATAAGCAATCATTGCTCTGCCATCAAATAATGACTTTGAAGAAAGTTCTGGACCCCAAGCTTAACTGCTAAGTAGTCAGAAAAACTTTGCTTTCCTGAATGTTTCAACAGAGAAAAGAGCAATGGGAGAAACATCTTAGTTGGAATCAATGAATTTGCCAGAATTCAGATCATCCCTGAAACTGAAAAAGTTATCCCCAAAATTGCAGATTCACTCAGAAAAAAAAACACCTGCCTAGTATTTTCAATATGACTCTATTGCCAGGAACAGGTTCCAGTGGAAAATTGCCAGTAAACTCTTTTCTACCTACTTTTCTATGTGTTTATTTCTTCATCCATCTAAAGCAGCTTTTTCAACCTATTTTCTCTCCCTGGCCTGTTGAGGAGGGGGAGTGAGAGAGCGGCTGGGTGGGCATTTGGCAACCAGCCGAGGTCAATCTGCCCCATATGGTCACCTAAGCGAAAGACTAAAGAAAAAACAAGCTCTGTACTTATTACAGTGTTGTTATGATTCTAATTGTAGGTTGATACTGAAATTACTGATGGTTGTATTACAAATGCACTAAAAACATTAGCCTCACACTTCACATCATGCCACGTTATACAGCCAGGCACAATCCTGCTTTAAGTTGCCCAGCGTCTCTGTTTCAAACGCTTCCTCAGAATCTGGCCCACGGTACCTTCACTCAGCAGTCAGAAGATTAGGGAAAGAACATTTCTTTTTCCTTTCCTTGGATTAGTGGCAGTCTTCCCTAGCAAACTAATGGAGAACAGGAGACCTAGTATGTGACTCAACCTATCATGGGCATACGGGTATAGGGAAAGGGAGGGATTCCAGCATCACTGCAAAGCCACTCTTAACAACTAAAGCCCTTCTGGGCCAGGTATCAGCCTTTCGCCAAATGAACAGACACAGGTTCCTACTAGTCCAGTGTCCAAAACACTTCAATTGTACTGCAACATTTAGAGCAATCATATTTTCCTATTACTGTTGGGAAGGTTTAAATAATGTTACCCACCTCTACTAGCTGGCTCTCTGGTAATAGGTAGCGCAATAGACCAACCAACCTAACAAGGAAAACACTATCAAAAATACAGCTGTGCAAATATTCCAGCATCCAAAATGAAAGAGGTTTTGGCAGACATTTTTGTTCCCCACATGGTATCTAGCAGTATAAGAAAGATTCAGAGTTGTTAATGGATTTTTTTAATTTACATTTTCAATACATGTAGATAATTTAATACATTCCAAGATGCATTGTTAAAGCCTGAATCTTAAACTACCACAGAGCTAACAACAAATTGCTGCAGTCTGTTTCTTGTAAAAGGTATTATTCTACATGTAAGCAAAATTCTTCCAGAATTTTTTTAGCATACATGACTGTTAACCTCCTTAACAGGTGACAGGATATTCTCTCCTCAACTGTGAGACACCATGCATGTTCCCTCTCACACCCAGACAGCTTAGCTTGCCAGCAGAGAGGTCATGTACAGTGCTCTGCTACATTTGGTAAAAGCCTGGCAATGCCAGCAATG